AATGCTGCCCCTGCCCCTTGCCACGATATCTATACTTGATCTTGCGAAAATGCTGCCCCTGCCACGAAATCTGTACTTGACCTTGCAAAAATGCTGCCCCTGCCACGAAATCTGGACTTGACCTTGCGAAAATGCTGCCTCTGCCACGAAATTTGCACTTGACATCACGAAAATGCTGCCCCTCCCACGCAATTCTAGCCTTGCGAAACCTTCGTTGCCGTGGCAATGGGCCCGGCATCCGCGCCCGTCCGCGCCCGTCCGAAGCCGTTCCGAGTATGCTCCGACCAGACGCCGCGAACAAGCTAGATTTCGGCTCTCCGGCAACGCGAAATCACGTGGAGGGTCACACCTTTTCACGATTTCTATTCCCCCGCCACACGCGCGCGCGCACCTTTTCTCGCTAGCTTTCATTTAGTTCTCGTAACACGGAAGTTCCTTCTAAACTTCCTTTGATTTTTTTTTTGGGGGGGTGTCCCTAGTTCCCTGCTTCCATTTGCTTGAGTTTGGGAAAAAAGGGAACAACTTTCCAGTACTGATAGATTCCAATTGAAACCAACAAGGGACCGAATTGCACATGTTCATTTCAGCAAATGGAAACCTTGCAAAATCTAGGGCATCCACCGTACAACTGCGAAATATGATGCGTCCAATCAAGAACCCGGAGAGATACAGCGGGCATAGGACTTGCAATCCCAACCCCTCTGAAAAGCGTGGGGCCGGACTTCCACAGGAACCCACAAAGGGGAAGAAGGGTGGGCTTCTCAAAACAGGAACCGGGCCCCTAAAACCGGTTTCCCTACAAATGCCGAACGGCGCACGGGGGTTCAAATCCCATGAGGTGAGACTCCTGGACTCCCCACGTGCCAACGGAGCTACGGAGATCGCCAAAGCAAATCCCTAGGCGTCGATCATCTGCATTTGCGAGTCCCCCTAAACCACCCTTCCGGCGAAACTCTACTTCTCAAATTGAAATAAGGAGAGCCCTGGAATAAAAAGGCCCTTCATGGGTTAAATCGCTCGTTCCCCCCTCCAAAAAAACAACCGGCGCGCTCGCTGAATTTTGCGCAGACCTGTCTGGATGACTGGCCAGGCCCATCCCGCCCAAACCACTTCAACCTTTGCCTCTAGTTTGGCATTTCCAGTTTTCGGGCTCAAACAGGTGCGGTCCTACGGCGAGCGTCCTTTTAGTTTCCCTTTCAATGCCAACCGAAAGGGGGGTCGAACCCATTTAGAGAAACGCCCAGTCTCCGACGGGACCTGCTTCCCTTTTTCCGAAGCCCCGCACCCTCAGAGCTGCGTGTGGTGGGGGTCGACAAGTCCTCCGCGAAGCGAAGGTTTTTTGGCGAGTCGGACAACTCGGATAGCTCCAGGCCACGCTTTGCAGAGCTCTAAGGGGCTAAATAATCGAACTGGCGGCGTGTAGTTGTTGGCGATTGTCTGGCCAGTTAGAGTACATAAAATCGAACTAAGGGGATACCAGGGTAATCTGCCCAAGAGCATGCACTTGGGTCGTTGGAGCGTAAGTGTGCTGGAAACGCACAACTTTAACATTGCCCAAATGAAGTCTCTCAGTGACAACTCATGTTGTTGGTGCACCCCCGTCAAATACTCATGATGGGTTCCCAATTTGAAGCCGTCCAAACAATCCAAGCGATCACTGTGTGCGGCCAAATTGGCAATCGGACTGGGCTACAACCCACTTGCAAATGCGAAGAGGAGCCAATCCTCTTGGGTTAGAACTATGGGCCCAACCCCGGGCTTGAACATGTTCTTGTATTTATGGGGATCAGGGGCTGGTTGCTCCAACACATTGTGCCCAACCCATTCATGTGACCATCCACTGTTATACTGACTTGACAACACACTTCCTCAGTGGATTGGCCAAGAAGAGTCTCTGGGCAACTTGTTTCCAACGAACAAAGTTTCCCGAATGTTTTCAAGTAAAGGGAGACCCCCTTTGGACGTGTGTTAATGGGAAAGATCATTGCACCATTGAGGGACTTGTGGCACATAGCCACGTGGCTATCCGCTTTGGATTCCTTTTTCAACAGTTGCATGGCTGGTTTCCATGGACACCGCCTGGGGGAAGTGGAGGAAGCTGTGTACGAACTGGACAACCAAAGTTCCAAGAAAGGCGCCTTGGGGAATGTCACCTGGTCAAACATAGGTACCCAAAATGGAAATGCCTCGCCCTGGCAAATGGAAAGCACGAAGACCTGCATGTCACTGGTTTGATTAAAGAAGCCTCGGGTCATGTCACTGGTTGAAAGGACCAACACTTAGTGGTACCATTTGGTAATGGTAATGGAAACTAAGAATATGTACCTTTGTAGTGGGTAATGGTAATTGGTAATGCATATCCTGGTTTAATTTTGACCCATTATCCACTTCGCAAAACCGTGACGTCGCCCATGGACACATCTCTAGGGGTTGATTCCGATTCCATTCTTTTCAACGATCGTTCTTTTCAAACGCCGGATCCGTTTCTTTCGGGTTTTGGATGTTTCCTGAAAAGATTCGGATCCCTGGGTTCTGAATGGAAATGGTACCCCTAGAACCATCGCCCACATGCCACGTCAACTTCTAGCATCCTATGGCCTGAGGCGTCACGAAGAATGGAAGGTAATGAACACCCCGTATTAGCAAACCCCTGTTTAATCTGGGGGTGTCCCTGGTTTTCGTGGGGATTGTTCACTGGAGGGGAACACCCCCCTATTAATAAGTTGATTAATAGGGGGTCAACATTTCCCATCGACACCTCGCCTTCAACTCCCCCAGGCAGCGGAAGAAGTCTTCCCGCGACAGCTCACCGGCGCCTGGCGTCCAGCGGGCTGAGCCGTCGCGCTCTCACAGAAAACCTCCGAAAAGAGTCGACTTGATCTGTGGCTTTCCGGTACCCTCCCACCAACTAACAGGGAGATGCATAGACTTCTGTAGAAAGACGACTTTCCGCTTGGAAAGGGGCTTTCTTACTTCCATGTTAGTTGGTGGGAGGGTAAACACCCAACCAACCAAAAAGGGTAATCTGAACACCATACGCCCGAATAGAATTAGGAAGGGGGGTGGTGGTGTAGGGGGAATTCCAATCTTGATGGGTGATAGGAGTCCTGCAAAGCTTTAGGACGCCGTTTCGGGTGCTTTCAAGCCACACCAAAGGTTTCACCACCAGGGACCCCTCCATTGGCGAGCTGATCCGTGAAAACTCCCTGGGCCTCCATGGTTCCCCATATACCCCCGGAAAAGGGGCTGTAGGCGCTGCATGTAACGAAACTACCTGTACCCATGTCAAACTCTGGATGGTTGTGAAATCCATTTCGCACCACTTTGAAGCCATGGTTGAAACCATGATTTGTTGGCATTTACATGGGAATCGAACCATTCCAGGGTTCTCAAGTGGTGCAGCATTTGGTCCACCCAAAAAGTCACTAAGGCAATTCCAAGCACTCACCTTTGTCTGCCCGGGTGTGTTTGTGGCCGTAGCAAGCCGCAGCATCCGCAATGCTCAGCCCCGCTGCGCCTCGCCGCCGCACCAGCTCTGCGATCGTCAGCGGCTGCATGGGAAAGGCGCGAGGCGCGAGGCGTGCGTCACAAGAAGGGCCCTTGGATCTAACCTCAGCTTTTTTTGCGCCAAACCAAAAAACACACGTGATTGATTCTGAACCATATTTACTGAAGCTTGAATATGTACCATAGTTTCACAAGAGCCGACAGCAAAGGGGTGAACTCAAAAGCCATGGTGACTCCAAAAGCGCAAAACTCCTCTCTATCTTCCTTCACTTGCCTGGGTTTGGAGGGCGTTTTCCAACATCCGCTTTGGGCTGCTCACCTGCACAGCTTTGGGAAGGTTGACATCCAGGCAAACGGAGCAAGGTCTCAGCCTTGCCCTCGGGCAATGCAAAGAGAGGCTCCTGTGCGCTTGTTGGCCCGGATGGTTGCGGCTGCATGCGCCACTCGTCTACACGCGATCCAGAATTTCGAAGCGCGCGGGCGAAGGCTCAAGCGTTGTCAAGTGCTCAGCCGGAGCGCCCCGGCACAAGACAAAGAGGCACAGGGCATACTTGACTTCTCCCAACATCGCCCCAAAAGGAAAACGTTCCGTTGACCCAACCCTTCTATCCAAACCGGAAAGCTAAATCAAACTCACCAACCCAACTTTTTTCCGAACCAATCAACGAATAGCCATAGGCCATTCGAGCAACGGCAATAAATCAGATGGGTCTCCAGCCCTGAGCGCAGGTTAGAGGTGCATTCATTTTGATTTCTGCCTAACTTGGCCCAACTCTGGCACACACCATGAATATGTTCAGAAGGCCCATATCAAAATCTTCATCATGAACCGTCAAATGCAATCAGCATATTTCATCTGAGACCGCAATGAACCAGGTTTTTGGGTGTCGCGGCCTCTTTGATATAGCTTACCCCGGCTTTTGGGCTAGATAATTACCACCCCACCCCAGGCTTGGTCGACGTACTTGGATGTTCAAGGTCAGGCGACGTCATAGCCATCACTCAGTCGCCCAACGGACCCAGAAATAAAAGGTTAACCTTTTGGGGCCTTTACTAAAGATAGACCAAAATTGGAAAACCAAAAGGTTAACAAGTCGGCTTTGGGCAACTGAGATGACTATCAATTGGGGTAATGTAGGTTGGCTTCCTCATAGTCAACCTATTTACCCGGGTTCACTTTTGACTCCCTCCAAGCCCAAGTGTTGCATAGTAGGGACACACTCAACTGTTCGAAAGGTGCACCCTTCCTGAGGCCAAACTGTGTGCGACTATGGTCCAAGGACCCAAAAGTTAAGAAAACCTCAGGGAGTGAGGTGAGTCATAATCAAAACCTGGTATCAAATGGTCCACCCAGAACCATGTAAACAATCGAACCAGGCGGCGAAGGCACGCATTCATGGCTGAGAATATCCCTTAACCTTCATTTACCTGGGTTTTGAGCCAGAGGCTTGGTTAATGAGCTAAGCACGCCCCGTAGTCTACCTGCGGCTTTTTGCTTCAGTCTTCGTTGTCTGCTTCATCTGCGGTGCTCATCTCCGGCCAACTGGTGGACATCTTCCGTGACTGCCGCTTCAGCCTAAGCCGTGGGTATGGCTCGTCCCGTTTTTCTCACTTCCTGAGTGGATTGGTCAGAAAAAGTCCAAACTCGTTGTTTCCCAATACAATGGTCTACCCAACAAGTGTGAGGTCCATGAACTCAGAGAGTGAGAAATAAGGCGACCCTCCCAAATAGTTTTGCGATTGGTTTCCCAAGCAGTACCCTCCAACACACACACACACATACAGACACACATGTTGTTACCACTGAAGGTTCAAGGAATCTTGTTCGTTCTCCCAACTCACCACTCTGGACCTGGTGAAATCACGGGGCCAAGCAATCATTACATACGACGCTCGAACTCGGTGTCAACCTCCACCCCATTCAAACCATATAAGCAATATGTCTGGCATCCTGCAAGCCTGGGAACTCTCAGCCCAGTGGCAACAAGGAAGCCCTTCCATAAACAAGGGCAACGAATCAGTGGGTGGAGCCCTGAGAAAGGGTACATTTGGTTGCCGAGGGAGGAACAAATCAGCTTTGCCGGCAGATTGCCCTGTGAAGCAAGTGGTTCTTGGAAAATTAGAATGGGGGTTGGGGGGTACAATAAAACTAGATGAAGCCATGAAGGGGAAACACTCTGAGGAATTGTTCAGCCCCTCCACCAGAAACTCTGAACAAATCCCAGCGGGAAAAGGGGGGGATGCTGCTGCCGGGGCCCGGACAGCTTCTGGGCGCGACGCCAAGTGGCGTAGATGAGCCGGTCCCCATACCTCTCGTATGGCTTCGGATTCGTCTGCTGCCCTTGAAAAAGCAACCCCAAAAAGGCGAGCCTTCCCCGCCCCCCCCCCCCAGAAAAAGAAAAGAAGAAACAAGAACAACACCCTCCCCCCGAAAAAGCAAAGAAAAAAGAAAGGAAGAAACAACGACAACATGAAGTGCCTGGTCTCTTGACCGATCCCCTTGCGGAAACGGAGTTGGACCCTCGGTTGTCCGCAAAGCACCTATAGAGATTTAGCCTGTCGTGCGATGCCAGTGGTGTGATGGTGGCACCTCGCGCCAAGACGCGCACAAGACCCTGGGCAGATGCCCTCTGCCATTGTCCTAAGAACCTCATCAGTTGCGGCATGTTGCGCAAATGAAGGCAGCCGGGAGCACTCCTTTGTAGTCCAAACCATCGTGCCCGAAAAAGGGAGACACCAGAACTAGCGCTCTACTGGCAAAACTACTGCTTCCGGACTCCCCCACTTCCCCTCACAATGTAGTGTGTTTACATGAATATGTATATATATATATGTATGTCTGTATATATATATATATGTGTATTTATATACATGTTTTTTCAAATATGCTGGCCAAAACCAGAATCCGGCCAAAGGTGTACAGCGTTTAATACACGTATATATTTTTGCATCTCGAACGTCAGTTTGCAGCTCATAGCAGCCTCATCACCCTTTACCCTTGTGACATCAAACACGTGTATTGACAACACAAGAACTACTTGAACAGGATTCAAACAGCAGAAGGTAGATCATAGGGGGGCAGAGCATTTAACATTTATGTTTATATGTCTCTTCCCCTACCATACATATGCATACACGTTACACGTGCATCCTGCATGTGTCACTACATATGTCTCTTCCCCCCCGGGCAATAGGAATTCCTATCCCTGGTTGATTTCCTTCTGTAGCCGCCCCAGGCAAAAGAACAAGAGCTGAACCGCAAGTCACAAGTCGGCCACGGGTAGCGAGAGTCTGCTTTACCTGCTTCATATCTGGGGAGTCCACTATGTCCACCCTGGATTGACCAACTAGGATTGACAAAGGAGATGTGTCCCTCCCCCCTTTCCCCAAGTGATAATTCCCTCAGTTGGAACTTTTTGATTGCAATCATGGGTTTATTTTAGGTGGTGTATATTTTCCAAGTTGGCAAAACAAAATCTGAGCTGATTGTTTTGGAACAACATGTAAGTCCAGAACTGGGGAAGCGAGTCAAGAAATCAACCGAACCCAAACCAATCTCAGCTTTCCCGCCCAAGATGCTTGATCTATCCAAGAATGGATAAGAAATGAACTCTCCGAATTATGGCTGGTTAGCTTGGCTTCATAGGATACTAGACTTCAACAACTAGACGTAGGGTTGACTGGAAATACCCAAGTAATCGTTCACACTCCCAAGCGAGCTGGAGATGTTTTGCACAAAGCCATACCGAAACAGAACATAGGCCAAAAATCAGGCCAACCGGTACCCCCAATATGGGTTTGACTGAGTTGTTTTTCTTTCAGCTCCTCTTCTTTTCACCACCGACGACACACACACACACACAATTAAACGTTGACTCACCAACCTCAACATTTCAGATGGCCCCCTCCAAAACTGTGGCTGTACAGGAGCTCAAGCCTACTTCCTGGTTCCTTCGGGTTGGTTTGAGAACATCCAAAGGGACAACCAAGTCCATTTTGGAATTTTGGCACATACCTACATCTTGGCCATCTAGCGTACTCCCACAAATATATGTTCAGATTATTTTTCATGTGTAGTCTAGCCTAAAATACATATACTCGGTTGCTTTCTGCTCCCCTGCTAAAGGTTTAACTCTTGGTGGTTTTCGGAAAACCCATGCGGCAATAACAGTTGTTCAGTCCAAACATCCCTTGGCAACATGCACCAAAGTTAAACGCCAACGATCTCGTGTTGGCAGAGACGCCCCCATGGCCTCAACTCAACTTTGCCAGGGCGCTCCACCTCGTTCAGAGACTTCGAGGCCTTCTCCTCGGACCGCGCCGACGTGAGGATCCTCGGCGTCGAGAGAATCTGGCAGCTGAGACTCGGCCCCAATTCGCATGGAACCAGGGGTGGCTTACCCCCCCAATTCCCCCAATTCCCCCAATTCATGGAAAACCAAAAGGAATAGTTTTGTTGTTTTTCATTTACCCTCTTGTTTTCTTCTTTTTAAATTTACCAGTCCCACCAATCAACATGGAACCTGACTGGTTTGGACCATTTTCCTTTTGAAGTGACAGGCTCCGGACCCTCTGTCAGGCTCCATGTTCATTGGGGGCGAGCCCAAACTAAGCATCTGAGGTCTGCGTGATAGCGACCTTCTTGGGCGACGTTGCAAACCACGCCGGGCATGGCTCTAGAGGGGGTTGTCTAACCACGACTGTAAACGCAATTCTCTCGTTGTTCTTGTTTGTTTGTCGGTGTTCCACCTCCCTCTTAGGCATGGAATTTGTGGAATTCAGGTGTTCCTTCTCGGTGTTCCCTCTCGGTGTTCCCCGGCATCCCCCCACGAGGCTTTGACTGGTTGTCCAAAGGAGTTGTTGTTTTTGCTCAACGGATTTCTGGGAAACCCTGGGTTTCCGGCGCCTCAAGAACCCCAAGGAAAACAAAACACCTAACGAGAGCCAACAACAAATGAGCATTCTAGCAACATCCAACCAACGTTGGTTGTTAGCTGTTTGGTTGTTTGGTGCATTTGGCTGTTTGGTTGTTAGCAGAAATCTGCCCATCTTGAGGCACACTAAAGAAGCGGCTGAAAAATTGCCCGAGGCCTCCTAGTCTTCCCTTCCCTCGCCTTTGGGCAGGTTACACTCGTCACCAAGTTGCAAGTCCTAGTCTTCCCCGGAGTATTCGGCCATTACCGCTTCCCTCATGTACCGAACCGATCGCCCCTTCAAGTCTTCGTTCACACCTGGAGCACTCCAAAAATGATTAACCAACCGACAAACTTCAGCCGGGGGGGCATCCTATCAAGGATCAACAAATGGTTGTACCCAAAACCACCAACTACATCGCTGTGGAGCTTCCCCAATATTCCCGCTCTTGATCTCCAGTACCCGCTCTAGTTGTTTTCTCTCTTTCAAGAGGCTGTTTCACCTCCTCGTCAGAGTCTGACAAAAGCTTCTTGAGCTCCGGCATCGCGGTCTTGTAGCCCAGCTCGATGATCTCCTGTTGGTTGTGAGGGATACCTGGGAGATCTCCGTTCCCCAGGGCTCTTTTCAGGGATCCCAAGACTGGGCCCATCTTTTAGAAAGTCATCCCATAAGAAGGAATTGGGTGAAAGGATTAAAAACGCAAACATTGGACCTTCGATTCGAATCTTGTGGTTGCTTTTGCGTGTCTTGCCATTTTTGGCTTCTCCCTCAGCAAGACAAAGGGTCTCCCACTGGTTGGTCCCGAAAGGGCTCGGAATTTCAAGAGTTCCCAAAAGTGGGCGGACATCAATCCCCTTTTTCTGCAGTGCAGTGCGGGAATCCAGGGCTACTTCCTCTTGTGTTGAAGTGGCTGTCACAGAGCAATGCTCTGCCATGGATCCATTGAGCTTAGGCATAAACACGACTGGGGCTTTGTTCTGGTTGTATACACTTGGGTGAACTCGCTGACAAGGCCCTAAGCTGTCTAGCTTGCAACCGAAATTATCCTTGTCCAGGAACTTGCTGAGTTTTCTGGGGGAGTCCAAGTACACGGCAAATGAAGGCAAAAGGTTGAAGGCCGGACAACGAGCCAGTCGCCTGGTACTTGGGCATATCCAGTAGGCCATAGGGCGACACGTCCTCGAGAGCGGCCCGGAGCTACAATTCAGCTGGGTTAGTACATCGAGCCCAACCACCCTTCTTTTAGAGAACGGCGGCCACTGGCAAGATGGGCCCAGGACAAGGCAACATCAAATCTCGCAGTACCTAAATGCATGATTATATATGGACCGATTATGGACCAGATCGTAAAACACCACGACTGGGTGCCAACAGCCAGGAGGTACCAATTTCAGGCACTTTTGAAGGGTTGGCCTCTGGCCAAAAGAAAGACCGAAAGAACCTTTCTGAACATTTGACATAATCAAGTTTCAATGTCTGTTTCCCCAAATCGGCGGACCCCTGCAAGAAATCGGTGTCCTTTTGCTTGATATACCAACCCAAAGGGGGTCCGCCAACACGGATCTACGTCTCCACCTAAAGGAACCCGACAAAGTGCTGAAGCGCTCAATCGCAGTCTTCCTGTGTCCCCTTCACAAACACCATTTCGCGTCTGCACACCACAAAAAACCAATTGGCCACAAGAGGAAATGTTGGAACAGTGACAAACAACTCTGCCACCCACTCAGTTTCCCTCATTTTTTGGTGGTTTGGATTGGTGTTCCGGAGGGGTCTTCCATTTACCCTCTACAAGAACCAGGGTTCAAATCCAAGTCACCAATTCAAACCACCAATCAGGAGTTCCCTGACCCGCCAAAACAGCCGTTAAAACAACGACAGCCCTCCGGCCGCCTCGAAGAAGAGAAACGAAAAAAGCGGTCAAAGGCGCGGGGGAGATCACCAGGTTCGCTCGATCCCGATGGGGGTCCTGGCGATCAACCGGCCAGAGGGGGCTTCCACTCTTGGGGAACGGTTCTGGGCAGGGCGGGGAATGGAATCCACTTCTGTGATACAGAAATGGCTTCCCAAAGGCTATTCTCTTCATATAAAGGGGGATTCACTTGTATGACAGAAGTGGGGAGAAACCCCTTGATCCCACAACCCTGGTTCTGGGCGATCCCCGCCCCCAAAGGTATCAGCAAAGCCGTTCGACAATCTGAGCGGGTCAACACCGTCTTCAGCGCTTGAGGAAACTTTGGGCCGCTGTGTCAATCCGCCGGATCCTGTGGGGTCGAGTACTGTTTTGGGGTTCTCCAAGTAGTGGACCCCTGTTTTGGGTGCTTGCAAGGGACAAGGAAACAACCCCCCCCCCATTTTGAGGTTCCCCTAAGAGAAACACCCCGCAATCTCGCAGTGCTTGTGGGATCACTCCCTCTCAAGGCCAAAGGCATCTATCTCCATCGGACAGATCTTCGCAACTTCCTCGGCCAAGCCCGGAAAAATCGGCTTGATTCGCCAACCGCTGAGATCCCCTGGCTTCGTTCGAAGCGCGCCAGCCAAAAGTCACATGCTCGATTCGGGTGAACCTTGAAGAAATAAAACAAAATTCAGGCCAACGCCCCAACATCTAGCATGGTTTGACCACCTTCTCCCCCCTTGACTTTAAAAGGACGGGTTGGCTCATGCCACCCATCTTCCCCGCCCGCAAAATGAAAGCACCCGTTTTATTCATCCGCCCGCATTCCACTCCTTCGGCTTAGCGCCTTTGGCGCCCGCCCCCCCAGCGCCCCCGCGGGCCCCGGGGAACGGCCTTCAGGGCTTCCACCAGGTACATGAGCCGTTCCTTCCGCCGGCTCGGCGGGGTGGGATGTCACCCCCCCCGGTTGGGGTGCTGCAAAAATCATATCTTTAGACTTCTTCTGGTTGGCAAGGCTCGGATGCTGATGGCTGCAGAAGCAGCACCAGTTGCCATAGTTGGGATTTGTGGTTTATCAACCAGTACTCAAGTCGGGTTTCATCCATCCCAACTGGTGCATTTGTGGGCTTTGTCCACAGTGTTGACAGTGTGTGTCTTTTTGACGAACCATTGTTCGGCTGGGAGGGGCAAACAAGTTCAACAGCCCCGATCGCTTGTGCAGCTTGACAGGTCTCGGTTTTGGGAAGTCCTATCGGTTCCTGGGAACATGGTCGGATGGTACCCATGGTTGCCAACTACTTCTCTCAGCTTCCATCTACTTGGCGGTTTGGAGCTTACAAGGTGATTTCCCATTTGCCCTTCACAAGAGCCAGGGCTCAAATCCAAATCCAAAGAACCAACCCAAACCACCAGTTGATGGATTGCCTTCGCACCTTGCCCCTTGAGGTAACACACATGGCCATGGGTCAAAGTCCAAATCGTACCCCCTGTGAACATCCCAATCCAACCACTAAAATGGACTAAAATGGGTGGTGCACCTAGCCCAAAATGGTACCATTGGTTTTGACCCACAGCCACATTTTCTTTTGCTTTTTCCGGGACGCGCCTGGATCTCTGCCTGCGTGGGGGGGTCGATCCCGGAGTGCGAGCTCCTTCGGCAGCAGAGCCGTCGCTTCAGCATCACCAGGCCGCCCCAGACTGCGTCCCCGTAGTCTGTGCCTGCTTCGGAAAATCCCGAGCGAGATCTACGAGACGGCTGTGTCCTTTTTAGAAGGTCCCCCCGTTTTTGGTGCTTTGAAAGGGCGACCAACAGAACCCCCCCCCCCCCCACCATTTGTTGGGTCCCCTAAAACACACACACACACACATCCAGAATAATATGGGTTCCCATGACGTACTTAAGCACTCTGAAGGGGATTTCATTGATATCACAGTAAGTGGCCCTAAATCCCTATTGTCCACAAGCATTCCATGCTTCGTTGGTTGCAGAAAAGGTCAGAATCGATTCGGCCCCCGCTAAGTCTGGCCCAAATCTGGCAGACACCAACCATTTTTCATATGTTCGGATTCTGTGTCATACTTGGTCCCAGTAAAGGGACATCAACAGGAGTTGTTGTTCAAACTAAACACATGTTGAATCACTATTTGGCCCAAGCCCGCTGGCTGCGCGCTGCGATTCTGCTTTGGGAGCATGTCTCTTCAGAACTTTGCCAGTGTGTTTGCTTGGTCTGTCCTCTTAGGGTACTCCTTTGGGAGGGCAGACAAGCGGAAACAGAAAACAACCCACTTGCTCCCTTTGTTTAGAGACAAAACCTTCTGCGCACATCTGCGTGTAAGACTATTCTAGTTCAAGCACACGCAAACACACACACCCACACACACACGCGCATACATGTATGATTTAGCATCCCATTTCAGCGTTGCCAGTCCGAGCTGCAAACTGGCGAATAGTCCGGGCAGCACTCAACACAAATCACGATTCCAGCGCCGTTCTCTCTAAGGACCTCGATGGGGTACTGGTTCGAGTACCTCTCCGCGGGAAGCAATTCGAAGTTGGATCGCGGTATGTGCTCTTTCTGGATCGGCTGTCGAGAAACGGGAACCGTTGAAGCAAAAGGCGTCCTTTTCTTCCTCTCTCAAGTCAAACCAGAGTCGCATGAATGCCCAAGAACAAGCTCTGGGTATTTGCATTTTTTGTGCAAACTCCAAACCCTGGATGAACAAATCCCCGGGGGCCTTCCTGAGCTGACTCGGTGATCTAAGTTATAAAAATAACCAGATCCCAGCAGATCAGGGAACCCACATGAGTTTTCTAATTATATTCCTATGTCTAAGCCATAAAGGCATTTTTTTATTTATTTCTCATGCACCAAAAGGAATTTCACGTTCAATCAGCTCCAAAACTGGAGGTGAAAGCCAGCCATGCAAACGCAAAGTTGAGTCCAAACTTTTGAAGGACCCAGACCTTTGGGGGCCACCTTGGGTTTTACCACAAAACGTCGGACACGCCCCCCGATTTTCCTGTGCCAATCTGGGGATGTGGCCAGCTGAGTTGGCTGGAGGCCCGGTACAAGTGAACCCACATCTCAAACCAAACCCAAACCACGATGTATTTGTTGGTTTCTGGTTGTTCCAGTGGCAATACTCAAACTCCTTCAGATTGGTGGCTTGGTTTGATGGTTAAGGGGTGCACCTTCCCTTTTACCTGCTCCAGGGGTTCAAATCCTCAAACCACCAATTTAAACCAAGGGCCACCTGAAATATTAAGGGCATCCGCATGGGTTCGACGCTTTCGGTTGCACGAGAAGTGGGCGCACCCCCCGTCCACCAGCAGCGTTGTGGTGACCTTCCCGTTCTCCCGCCGCTCCTGCGAAAATTGCAAGACCCGCGTTGGGAAACAATCACCTCCATTTGCTTAAGTGATCGGAAGAGAATGAGAGAATCGTTCCAACATATGGTGAAATCGATCCCTTTAAACCACCAACTGGACAAAACCAACAGTTATTGTCAAATTTAAGCAAATGGACGAGGCTTGAAGTGACCATGTTTAAACAACACCCCGAAGGGAGCCAGGGTGACCCTTCAAAAGATTGCGCTTCTGCTTACCCAAAAAGGGATCGCCTAGTGCTTTCCTTTGCCTCAAACCATAGGAACCCTTTGACCAAGAGTTGAATAAGGAGTCCGAATTTGGGATCCAATTCTTGCCTTTGAAGAACACCCCCCAACTGCCGAACGAAAAAAGTCCGTTCCGCGTCATTCGAAGGACGCACCACTCGCCGAGCGAACGAGCGCACTGATGGCATCGAGCGCTCGATTCCTGGTGCGGCAGAGGGGGCGCAATGCCCACGAGGCTCATGGACGCCCTCACCACGCGCCAGATGGGACCGTCCCGGTGCACCTGGCAACCGCTCGAAAGTCCGCGAAACCCGAGCGAGCGAGCGAGAGCCGAGGTGGGTTCAATAATCAACTCATGGAGCCATTCGACCTTCAGGGTCCTGTCGTGGACCATTTTCCTTTTAAAGCGTCAGGCTCCATGTTAATTGGTGGGAGGGTAAGTGATTTGGGTTGACAAACTTTTCCAACGCCACATCGATCGAATCGATCCGATCGCCTTCTCCTTGAACTGAACTATGTCCGTGCTGGTGCAGGAGAATGGTATTAGCAAATCTTCGCAGCGGCGCCGTGCGAAGATGTCCTTCCTGAGGAAACAAGAATTCACGGCAACACCAGACTTATCCGCAGGACCAATCAGGCGTGGTTCCAGGTTGCATGGGGGACAACATCATTTTAGAGAGATTCCTCAGCTTAGTATGGTGCTCTGGATGTATCCGAAGCTGACAAGGCTTGCTCTTCTCAGAGCTTCCAATCATCGAGGTGAAAAGGGTTCAAGGCAAGAATCCGGGCGAATTACGATAGTTCGAGGGAGATACAAATCTAAGGACCTCCGTGACTGTCCCCCGCTCGCTGCAATCTTGCCGCAGCTTTCGGGGAAAGCTTAAAAATCACTTCATGTCGCGGCTTGCTCCAAAACCCAACCCACCCCCATCGTCACAGTAGATATTCGACCCAGAAAAGACAACGATGTCGCCAAATGGGCCAACTTCGGTATCTTTCGCCTTGCCTCCCTTCAAACCACTGAGACGAGTACCATACTCCAAGCCCGATTCGGGAGTTCGAACGATCCCATATTAGGCGGGTCCAATCAATGCAAAACCCTGCGAACATTTCGGAACGGTCCCATATTGAGTGAAACATGACTTGACAAGTCATCAACCGCTTGCCCAACTTGGTCTGGACTTGCCCTGGCCGATGGTGCCCTCATCGAACGCATTCCTTTTGACCCCGGACCCGGAAGAGGGTTTGTACAGCGAGCCCCTTAGGGGCTTTGGGGAACCCGCTTTTGACAGACGAAAGGACACTTTCCTTGGAAACTGCGGCCATTTTCAGAGTCAATTTCAACCCATTTGGAGACAAACAAAGACACATTTTTCTTCAGGGTCCACTTTTTCCAGTCAAAGGCCACTCCCTGCAAAGCATGGAACCATGCAACGTCCCCAAAAGGAGACTCTGGCTTCTTCAGTATCCTGTCTAGGGGAGTATGCCCAAGTCGTAACCCTCGAGATTAGAAAAAAACATCGAATCTCCCTTTTTCCAACCATGAACATTTCCGTGGACGTTTCGCGCATGGATTTGGTGGTCCAAACCCTCCGTTTTCTACGCTTTGCTTGTTTTAGCTTGAGAGTCGCCTGGGCAAACTCACCCACAGAGAGGGTGATTTTGCCTCAGGGCGGTGTCCGTTTCGGTCTTGCCTGAACTCTTCACCGCTTTTGCGAGGTTGCCCTCCCAAACCGCTAGGCTAGCAGGGTCGGTGCCTGATTGTTAAACCTGATCGGCGCATGAGGCGATGGCCGGAGGAAACCCAAAGGCGCCGTGTCCGACGTTTTTGTGGGGCAGCAAATTAGGAACGCTCAAAGGAGCAAACCTGAACCAAAGGAGGTAGAGCCAACGGGCGAGCCCAGCTGAAAAGCTGGATTTGGGCTGCCAGTTTCTGAGACAAAGTAGTCATGGGACTGGAAATCCGACTTTGGTATCACGGTAAGGGTTATTTCTCACAACCATGGTCAGGTTTCTTCAAGGACACATCAAAAAACGACCCATTTGGCTTCTGCCGAAACAGAGAGAACTGCCTCCACTGGCTTGGGCACATCTCGGATCATATACCAGGCGGGTAAAGAGACCAGAAAGGTACATGGGCTGAGTGCTCCCAGTGGCAATCGGAAGATTCCGACCCCCTGTCCCCAAATACATTTTCACATGCGGATGGGTCCAACAAACTCCATATCGCACCCTTCAGAAACCCTGGTGTTTGATTCGATTCCCCAATCCGAGGATTCCCCCACCGCAAATGCCAACAAACCCTCGGGTTTTGGGTGCGACACCTCCGAAGCGGATTCCTTCGCCGCCCTTCCACGCCTCTGACTAGGTCCAGTAGAGAGGTTAGAAAAAGGGTTTTGTAAGTCCATTTTAAAGTGTAAAGGAGCCCTCCCTAACCAAAAAAGAAACGGTAAAAGAAAGGGCACCTAGCTGGGGGACCTAGAAATGAGTTCCCCGGACAAAAATTCGCCCGCATTCCGGTCGGTGACGGACTCGGCTTGCCCAAGGCGCAGCATGGAGTTCAGGAAGGCCCCGGTGAAGTTGGCCGTGCGGGGGAAGGTGAGGTCCCAAAGCAGCTTTCGGGTGGAGAACCTCGGAGCGGCTCCCGGCTGTGTTGGGTAGCTTGTGATTTGACCCCCCTCCCCGCAAATATATGTATATATACACATATATATATATATATACATATATATATATACATATGTATGTACACATATGTATGTGTATATATATATATATATACATATGTATCAAAAAACAAACACAACAAGAACAAAAAGCACAAGTGGTGGACAATCCGGGTCTACGTTGCGCTTCCTGGTTTGGGGCTATGTTTCTGCTTGTTGGGTTTGAATCCGTTGCCTTCTAGAGTCAACCAATCGGCGTTGAGCCAGCTTGGGGAACAGAATTACTCAAGCCAGGGACCTGCTTTTGGCTGTTGGGATACACTTCCCTTTTCCAAGCAGACACCACCTACAGCATGTTCCACCTTCTAAGTCCAAAAGTCAGGAAAGCCTTAGCTTGGGAACCCCACCCTTTTTGGGAGATAAACACGTAAAACCGTTTTGATAGTCGGTTTAGTATTGCTGTTGTTTTGCTTGTTGTTCTTGCGTGTTCTTGCGTGTTCTTGCGTGTTCTTGCGTGTTCTTGCGTGTTTTTGCGCGTTCTTGCGTGTGGTTGTTGTTGTTGTTGTTGTTGTTGTTGTTGTTGTTGTTGTTGTTGTTGTTGTTGTTGTTGTTGTTGTTGTTGTTGTTGTTGTTGCTGCTGCTGCTGCTGCTGCTGCTGCTGCTGCTGCTGCTGCTGCTGCTGCTGCTGCTGCTGCTGCTGCTGCTGCTGCTGCTGCTGCTGCTGTTGCTGTTGCTGTTGCTGTTGCTGTTGCTGCTGCTGCTGCTGCTGCTGCTGCTGCTGCTGCTGCTGCTGCTGCTGCTGCTGCTGCTGTTGTTGTTGTTGTTGTTGTTGTTGTTGTTGTTGTTGTTGTTGTTGTTGTTGTTGTTGTTGTTGTTGTTGTTGTTGTTGTTGTTGTTGTTGTTGTTGATCCCTCTTGACATTTCGGGGGTGGGGTGGGAACACCCAGTCTATAGTATAACATTTGGAGTTTGCGAAACACGTATACACCATGACCGCGGTTGCAGAACGAATTATCTACAAAGTTGGATCCTGAATTCCACAGGGTTCTTGGTTGTTACCAAGCGGTCACTATGTACAAAGTGGAGGGATTTCAGTTAGGGAGTCTCTGAAAGCCTGTGACTTGTGCAATGCGATTGCTCAGCATTTTGCTCAGCACCCTGTGAAAGCCTGTGACTTTGCCTATCACTTCACGCATCGCTCAATCACAAAAGCAACAAACACTCGCTGCAAGCAATGGCGGCCCGTGTCCACAACAATTCCTTGTTTGCATAAAAACTTCAGTTCACTTCTGAAATGTCAAATTCCATACCTGAGGCCTTCCACCCCCATCCCCAGACCCGACATTCAACTCAAGACGCCTCATCCAATAAAACCCATGCCCTTTCCAGGATAATTTCTGGATAGAGCAAGTGAGATCATTCATATACCTAACATGAGGCCAGGGACGACCTCAATGGCTTTGCGTTTCGCCTTTTGCCTCGCGGCAAATTTTCTGGTGAAACAACCATTTGCTCACTGTTTGGACCTCTCGCTATTGGCTTGAAATCGTCTCTATGATATCATAGCAAACATTGACCTAGAAAGCGGGTCAAGGGGAAAAGGCGAGGTAGCCTATCTCAGTTTCTGCACCCCTGACAAAGAAACTGTTGCTGACTGGCCCATATTGATTGAGCCCTAACATGTTTTTATACCTTCAAAAGGGAGTCTCGGAAACCCCGCCGTTGAGCACCTCGTTGAGGACCGGTTCATGTAGCATCAAGGCCTTGATCAGAAAGGTGTGTGGGAGCCCCAAAACAGGGTTCTTGAAGGATACATCCCAAATCCAGCCAATTCACAAGGGGATCCTCGGAATTAGCTGTTATTAAAGTCGACTTTTCATTGGGCCAGCTGCACCGAGGGATTTCTCCTCGCGCTGTGCTCCTTGCGGCACTTTCGGGGTCGGGTCGCTGGGTCGTCATCACCCGTTTCACCACGCTCCTCAGGGAGGTGGGCTCTGGAGCACTGATGGCATACCTCATGCGGAGCACGAGAACCCGGTGGAACCCGTCTCGTCGACTTCACGGGGCCCATGGGAAGGGACGGGGAGGGAAGGGCATCAGAGCGGCTTCCTCTCCCCAGGCCCCAAAACCTCTTGACTTTTTGGTTGTACCAAGATGCAATGGTGAATCAAATTGCCAAGAGGTGAGCTCAAATGAGTTGGGCCCAGACCAGCCCAAAACAAGCAGGACACAGACCACCCCTTCCCACGCCAAAAATGAGGGCTAGAGGTTCATAAGCCTCACCTTTCAAAACCAAAATCACCCTTGGTAGTTCCGCGGTCGTTTGCTTCTTGACTGAGGGAACATGTACAGCCGGCCCATGAAAGAAGCCGAATGGTTCCATGGGAACCGCTGGGGCTCAACCAACAGGGTGGCTCCGAGGAATTGGGAAAGGGAAGCAACCCTGACCCCAAAGGCCCGCGAAATCGTGGGATTGCCCTAAAGCAACCTGAGCTGCATCAAAGCGTGCCTGGGACAAGGTCAAACGGTCGATGTGCCTTGACTGGAAATATATAAGTTGCGGGAGGCGACGGTATGGAGTATCCGGGCCAACAAAGTTGGGGCGGTTCAATTTTTTGCAGGTGCCACCGGTACTGCTCACGCCGCGCCGTGGAGACCACAACAAGTCCGGCTATATAAGTTGTGGATCCACCAACTTGCAAGGAAAGAGTATAGAACAAGTCCTGAACCCCAAGGACTTCAGGTGGCTTCCTGGTTGGCTTCCTTCTGGCTTCCTTGTGGGTTTTCCTTCTGGTTTCTCTAACCCAAAACCCCCCAACCTGGGACCGGTTTTCACCAATCCATTTTCATCCCCGGGCGCATGGCGGCAGCGAGTGCGCCGAAGGAGGTTCCGGAGACCACGTCGATGGGGATGTCCAGCTCTTGCATGGCCTGCGTATTATGTAACTTTGCCCAACTTCGGGCCAACAACTTCTGAGGGTTTAGGGGTTTCTGGGTTTGGGGCTTTTTTGGCTTTTCCGCTTTGGGCCGGGATTTTTCTTTTACACTCCCCCATACTATCAGTCTAGGAGTGGATTCCTTGCCATTCTGTTCAACCGTGTTCTTTTTTGTCAAACAACCGATCGCTGTTCCCCCTGGGCTTTCGATGATTTCCTGAAAAGAAGGATCCGTGGAAAGAATTGGAACACTTTCCCTATCCCCGCACCATTTTGGCTGGGTTGCCAAAGAAAAGGATGACCGGAACACCCTCGAGGATGGTTGGTGGATATCAACCTCCAAATGTCCACTAAAGCGTTCTCAAATAAAGTTCATAACCACATGCGCCGTTGGAAAGGCTTCGTAGACCAGTACTGATGCAACCAAAGGACCTGTTCCCTTCGGGCGATCCCTCACATGATGAAGCACGGGAATACCTTCCCTATGAATCCGCCAGGTTGGTTAGTCCCGGGATACAGTCACCTTCCGAAGGGCATATACATGTATATACACAATTTCCCCTTGATCCCCTTGGTACTTTGGGGTGGTTTGGGGGTACTATCAAGGGCTGAATAATTAATTTCACGTTCTTTTAGAGTACCCGGCTTGTGCCTATTCGATCTATTTAGGTCTTGGGGTGCCCACTCGGACTTTTGAGTTTCCTCTCGGGGTGGTGCTAGAGTGGGCCTTCGCCTCCATTTGCTTAAGTCCCCAGAAAAAAAGAAACGAGCTCCAGTAGTGAAATCGCTTCCCTCTAAAAACAACAGGGGGGAAACAAACAAATATTCTTAACAAAATCTCACTTCCTGACTGGATTGGCCAACAAAACGTCCGATTTTTAATTTACCCACTAAAATGGTCCAACCCCAGAAAGGTTCATGTCCAGCTCTGGAAGTGAGGCTCAGAGGTTTCCTCTGGGTGTGGTTCTCGGGCGACCCTGGATAGCGGTGCCGTCCCGAGTTCCGCGTCGCCTGGATCACTCCGAAGTGGACGTTGCCCCGCGCGCCGCCGCCGCCGAAGCACACCCCCACTGCCTTGCCCGCCAGAAGCCGCGCCACCCTGGCGGGCCAGGAAGTCTCATCGCCTTCCCCTCGAATTGGTGGTTTGCTTTGGACCTTACGGGGTACCTTCCCCATTTGGTTTCACAAGGGGTTCAACTCCCCAAATCACCATTCAAAACCACCAATTAGAGGAAAGCTGACCCAAGGGGGGAGGAGGGGGTGAGCAATACGGGGGAGGGAGGTTGTTCTTTGGCCAAGAGGCAAACATGGAGAAATCCGGGTTGGTTTGGCCCCCGTGAAATGAGGCGGATCTTGCGTGGGAAAAACCATGTAGTCCCTTTCGTTCAGGATCTCTCTGGAGTAGAGTGCTCTGCACTGCAACTGCACCATGCCTTCTGAACCAATAGTCCTATGGTTGTCAAGGACCCCTCCCAATCAGGCACCCCCAATGCCAATAGGGGCGAATAGCGACCAACACGGCCTAGTAGTGGCCATTGCTTGCCAATTGCCCAAAAATGTGCCATGGTCAAAACGTCGCTTGTTGCTGTAAAGTAGCCGTGGGAGCGCTTGGTCCTTCTGACAAGTTCGACATAGTCCCCTGAAAGAAAACTCACACCATCCCACCCTGTGGCGGCCATGCCTGAAACTGTCTTTTTTTGGGTGGGGGTCCCCCAAAACAGACACACCCGCAATTGTCCAGCAAATGTCTGGAGTCACAATCCTGGAGGATGCTCGTTACGTGTTGCGGGGTGCCAGCCACCGGAGGTTCCCTTTAGCCTAAAACAACCATGAAACATACAAATGGCTCCTGGCTCCCCAACAAGCATTTCCTATGAGGGTCTGGTGGAAAGCGGCGGCTTCGGAACAGCCTTGGCCATGTTTATGGCTCACAATCCCCTGCTAGGGAAACGCGCAAAATGTGCGAACCAAATCGCGGGGGGCTTTCCCTAGCTCCCGCCTTGGTTCGGATTGCTTGGCAACCAATATAGAGGAAGACCTCTGTGGAATCCATTCCGCAACAGCCAATATGTTTGGTTGCTCCGTGAGAAAATACATATGGTCCCAACAAGTCTAAGGCAAACGCTCCAACATAGCATGTCAAATGGCTAAGTGACCCTTTTTGGGCTTTGGGGCCTACAGTCATTTGGGGGCGATGCTGATAGACTAGCGTAGACCATCATGATCATGCTTCTTGGAGGGAAGACTGGCGGTTAAAGACCCTGACAAAGGGTTGATGACTTTCCGTACAACCAAACACCGACTGGATATGCACTGCCCAAAACCGATACCTATCAACCTGCAAACCTGATAGAAAACTGTAGATAGCTTTTGCACTCGTTTTCGTTTGACTCATGATCGTCTATTCTTGTTAGAAAGTGAGTTCGTCGTCACAGGGTTTGCTCATCGCCCGAATCATTGAAAACCGGTGCCTCGCCCAGTCTCAGAGGTCTTCATTGAAAACCGGTGCCTCGCCCTGTCTCAGAGGTCTTCATTGAAAACCGGTGCCTCGCCCAGTCTCGGAGGTCTTCACCCCGCACATGGTGCCACCGCCTCAAAGCGGCCCAGAGCTTCTTGATAGGCAGGGAATGAGAGTTGGAATGACCCAGCCATGCCTAATTTGGCTTCCTTTAAGGGAATCCCCAAACCCGGTTCATTCAGAAACCTCAGGTCATCCCTCACTGAGAACCAGCCAGGTTTGTTTGCGGGGGTCAAAGGGAAGCCAAGACAGAAGTCAAAAGCAACACCATGCAACCTTTTGGGATGCATGGGGGGGGGGTTTTAGGGACTCACAAGCAGAACAGCAGCACTTGCAGGAACCCCGATAGAATTCATCCAGAACCTCATGGTTTCCGAGGGGTCGCCGGGTGGTGTTGTGGATGTTCCAAACATGTCCCGAGGCTTGAAATTGGCCCGGAGCCGCTTGCGGGCGAGGGTTCCCCAAATATTCGGGTGGTTGCTGTTGTTTGCCATTGATCCCCTTCTAAGCACCATATTCATTGCTATTGGTTCCGTTTGGGAACTTGCTTGACCGCATACACACAGGGCAGAGCGAAATATCGCTCAGCCGGTATATTTGGCCGGAACCATGGTGAGAACCCACCTATGTCATGGGCGCAAGTCGCTGCGATGTTTCAGCTGGGCTGTCAAAGTGTACTTCATGTGTTGAATTTTACTAAGCTGAGAACGATACCCTGAACCATACCTGCGCGATTCCGGAACGACTGGGGACTTCCAGGTGACCCTTAGTTGGTGCTTGGTGGTCTGGATTGATTCGAAACCCTGGCTTTTGTAGAGGCAAGGGAAAGCCACCCCCGAAGTCGAACCAATCAAAGCCAATCAAAGGAAAGCAGACGTTTCTTAGGGAACATCAATCTAAGTGTTCGAAAAATATGGGACTGCCCATGTCAAATGGATTTCGGCAACTATCCCTCCTTGTTTTACCAATGGTTTTCGGACCTCTTGCTTTCCCTTGAGCGTCTTCAAATATGGGACCCCGCACTTTTTGCGGTTTTCCCCTCAAGTTTCCCTTGTAAACCACACTGAAGGGGTACCACCTCCAAAGAACAATGCGCAAGCATCCGCCAAGTCGTTTTTGATCAGATTCGACGTCGCGAAAGAAAAACACACACACACACACAAACAACACACCAGTAACAACACTCCACCAAGTCAGGCTTTCGCAAAGCGACCGGTTCGTTCGACCTCGAACTCTTTCGATCGCTCGTTCGCCTGGCCCAGGGCCGGCAGTTCAGGTAGTGCCGGGTGGAGCGCTGGCACTTGCCGAAGCCCGCGCCGAACAGATGGTGCCGCACCTCGACTCTGCTCGACTCCGCTCGACTCCGCTCGAGTCGTCGAGTCGCCCATTCGTCGCGGGAAGGCGCGCGGGGAAAAACCACCAGGTGAGGCCTACCCCTCTGCCCTCCCCCCCAAACAGCCTCCCGTGTTCAGAGCTTATCTCGCGCCAACAGAAACAAAATGAGGGGTCCTTGGTGCTTTTAGGAGTTGGTCCCACATCAACTATTGAGATAGTCGTTTCCAATCGACGGTTGTTGGGGTTCCATAGGTTGGCCTCGGTTTAAACGGACACCAGCAACGCCATCCATTTTTGGGGTCGCGCACAAGTTCCGTTTAGCATGTTGGGCCCCCCAAAATCGTGTCGTTTGACCCACACCTCCAAATGCCCCCACCGACTTTTCAGGTGGCGTTGCCTTCAGCCCAGGGTTCCCAACTTTTTGACGGGTCTACTTGTAAATGCATATTCCTCTAAGCATGGTGGCTTTTGGGGCACGTTAGTCTGCAGGTAGGTAATGGAGCCCCGGATCAATCAACTCCAGCTCTTTTTTGGTGCATTCCCCTCCAAAAGTGAGAATTCCCCGCTAAACCCAGGGAAATGTCCCTTCCAATAAGCTGGCTGACGAATGTGAGGTTCTCCAAATTAGTTCATCTGGAGACTTTTGCGTCGGAGTTGCGAATCCGGAGACCCCGGGCTTCAGGGTGTCCGCGTGCGCCGCGGAGCCCACAAACCTCCAGGCGGGCAAACCGCAGCGGTTTGGGAGAGGTGCAGAAAGGCGGATCCAGGCATGTTTTAAGGAAAGGGAACCTCCCGAACGTCAAGAGATGGCAACACAAACGCCTTCTTGGAAATAGACTCCTCAGGTTGAGGTTCAACAACCTTCAAGGATCCTGACCCCTTCAAAAGGGTCCAGTGCGTTGACGAGACTCTGAAATGACACCTGTTCATACTTTCCCTTTAATACAACCCCGCCGGGCACCGCTCCAGAAAAGACACACGCGAGGTACATCCACGACCCCGAAACTTGCTGCTTGCTTCATAGGGGGGACACCTTTCAGTACATCCGGTTTGTCGGGCTGCTTTTCTGCCTGAAACTGCCTGAACCCCAGCCTCGTTTCGGCCAAGAGCTCTCTGAAGCTGCGAGAATTCTCCCCATCATAAGGACCATGCCCGGGGGCACGTGCCCGAAAATCTGATATCAAAAATCCATAGGTTCTCGGCATTGGGCCTGCATGTGAGCCGCCAGTCATTGTTCAAATCTAGTGTCTCCCACACCCCTTCTAATTGAACTGTCTGGATATGTTGGCCATCATGTATAGACAAGTTGTGATAAGAAAGGACACTTCCTTTTGGGTGACGTCGCACGCACCCGGAATGTGACGTCATGCATACTTGCCAAGGCACCAATCGTCCATGCTCGCCAACCCGGATGCTTTGCCTCAACGCTTTCCGATTTCCCAACCGACCGTCCCTGGAACCCTTCCACTTGCCCACCTTTCCATGCTCCTTGGATCGAGGAATGCTTGGGAAACTTAGTTAAAGCTCGGAGTCGGAACCAGAACATTCGCAGCTTTCGGTGCCTTTGGATGCCTTTGGTTCACGCCATGTGACGAAAAAAGTGATCGTTGTCTGTTGGGAATTCTTGGATCATAGAATACGGTTGACCAAACCTGAGCAAGCTTCGGTGCGAAAGCTGGAGGCCATGCATTCACGCTTTGAACCACTTGAGTCATAGTCAAAACCCGGTAGTAGAATGGTCTTCCCAGAACCATGCATGTGAAAAAATAGGAAGGCTATTTATGGTTGGGATTGTCCTTACTAACCTTCATATACCCGGGTTTTGATTGTGGCTCACTTGTTTCTTTCGGCTCAACTTAAAACTACCAATGGATTCTGTCTATCCGCAATCTTCCCCACAAAATTCCTCGATCCCTGTCCAACCAGTCCCTGCTCCGCAGGTTGAACAGAAGGGCCTGTCAAGAAAGCCACTTCCTCCTGCAACCGGGGCTTTGAAAGAAACCTCCACACGTTGCCTTGACACGCAACAGAGCCAAAGAAAAGACCGAGCCAGAAAAACAAAACAGTCAACTTGAGTCACACACAGCATCTGGTATTGAAGGAGTCTACCAAAACCGTGGAAAATAATCAATCGGGCGGAACTTGCAGCTACTTATGGCAAGGGCGCTGTCACCAAACTTTAACTGTTCAGCTTTTGATCGGGACTCACATGGGTGTGTCGTTTTGGAGTTGGCACTCTTTGCTTACAAGAGAACGCCGAAAGCAACGGCTACCAAAAGGGGACCAAAAGGAAGGCACAAAAGGGAAGGCACAGGGTTCTGTTGGAGGGACCTTCTCCGAGTGGATTGGCCAAGAAGCCTTTTGCTTAGTGCAAAACTTGCCTTTTAAGTCCAAAGACTGGCGTTCGAGTTGAGAGAAAGGCCCAAAGCCTCCTTTAGGACCACATTTCTGCAATGTTTACAATGCGACAAGTTAACATAGCCCAAAAAAGGAGGTCTGTTTCCCAAAAGTTTCCTTTACACATGTTTTGTTGGGGTAACCCATGTTCATCCGGGCTGAAATTGGGATCCCTAAGGAAGCGACAAAAGTTGTGACATCGCTCGTGGTTTGAACCTCCCAAAAGAACCAGTGGAACCACCCGAGCCACGAAATGTTTGGACAAATCACAGGTCAAAAAGTTCGAAGCCAGGCGATTCCACTGACACCGGAAAAAATGGCGCCCAGCCGTGTCTTTTGGCTTTCCTGTTGCTTTCCCTTTAAACACCAACCAAACAAAGGGTACTCAACAAGGACAAACCCATTTTCCACTACACGCCGCGGTGCCCTTGATGGTCCCATTGTGCAAAAGCAGCAGCTCCCTCGTGACGTAGAGCCTAGTGCACGGTGCTTGCGAGCACATGCTGCGCTCGCAAAAGCTGCACGGGTTTTGTCTCACGATGGGGATCCCTTGGCCCAAAACTAAACACGAGAGAGAGAGAGAGAAAGAGAGAGAGAGAGCGAGAGACAAAAAGAGCTGTCTTCAAATGGTCTGTCCGCAAATGGCCATTCAATGTGCTCTGAGCCAATCCCAGTTTCATGTGCGCTTGCGTGTGTGTGAAAAGTAGAAATTCCCGTCTCTTTGGCCCCAACAGTTCCCGTCGAACCAAAACGGGCTCAAAAGGCAACCCCTGGTTGCTATAGAAGACACACATTCAAACAACGCAACTCATCCAACTTCAGATCAAGAAGTGGAAGCTTAGGCATACCAAGAGGTGTTCAGAAGTTTGGCTTCACGCGGGAGGCTCTGCTTGCCTTCCGTCGGAAGTAGCATAACCATGAAATCATGCACACCATTCAAAGCGACATGTCGGGATCGCATGGCTTGAGGCTCGGGTACCCACACAAGAAAACTCCTCCCAAAGTTGGGGTAGCTTGGGCTTCAGGTTAATACCCAATTCTTTGTGGGTGTGGCCGCAACATTTGCTGAGTTCCGGGTTTATTTTTCGGGATGCGTGTTCATCAAGCGTGCTCATGCGAGTGCGCCAAAGAAGCTTGCTTTTGAACTGCTAGTTTTCAATCCCAGTGAAATTCGATTGAGCTGCCAAACATCCCATGCTTCCAAGATTCCCCCCCCCCCCCCAGCCCGTCTGCAGGAAACGGCGTGGGAACTGAAGTGGCCCGTTGATCCCTTGCTAGAAGTCGGACTTTGCCGTGATAGGTCATCGCTCCAAACTCGCAAAGTCTAAACGTCTAAGGATATGGCTGGGAACTGCCTGTGGAAGGGACACACTTTTTGGTCAAGTGCTGTGTAACAGTCCCCGAAGCTGCATCGAAATGGCCAGAGTGGCGGAGCAGTGGTGTGCACGTACTGCTCGTTCAACGTCCTGAGCCGAAGCTGCTTAGCTCGCTCCAAAATACGGCTCGAGTGGTTGAAAGGTAACCCGGCCTCCACAACTCCATTTGGAGACCCCCTCAAAATGCAACCACTTTTCTAGGGGCTGATTCCCCATTCTTTTCAACCATTGTTCTTCTCAAACACCGGCTGCTTCCCCTGGTTTTTTGATGGTTTCCTGAAAAGATTCGGATCCCTGGAAAGAATGGAAATGGAAGGTATACCCTAAAACTTCGCAAATGCCCACCAAAAAATATGTTGTCATCCCCAGAGGTGAAGGCAGATGCTGGGCCCCCAAAATGGCTTGCCAGGACCCAGAGCGTATGGGGAACCAGCCTTTTCATATTAAGACCCAGGATGCTTTGCGGGGCAAATGACTTACCCTGGTAGGTCAGTAGCCATGGTTGACCACCAGATCGCCCCAAGTGGGGCTTGAGCTTGTCTGTAAGGGAACTGCCGAAAAAATGGTGGCTTCCCCTTCAGCCAATCCTAAGAAGGGTACCCTCCTGTCTACTACCATGGAACTTGACGATTCGAGGTTAGACGATTCTCCTTCAAAAGGGCCCACTTCTCTGGTGGGTTCCATGGCAACGCGGACAGCAGGGTACCTTGAAAAAGAGAGAGAGAGAGAGAGATAGAGATAGAGAGAGAGAGAGAGAAAAAAAGGTAGTGCAGGATTTTGTCCATCCAGAGCATGACATATCTTACCTTCCATCCACTTCCCTCGCTCGCTTTCTCGCTTTCAACCCCCCAACTTCCCGCTTTTGCCACGCAACACCGAACCAAACCAAACCGAACCTGTTCGCTCGCTCGATCCACGCCACCCCCCGAAGCCGCCGAACCCAGGACTCGGAAGCCGAGCATAGCCGAGCGAGGCGCTGCGGCACGTCCCCCCGGCCCTGGCCGTTGAACTCGGCGGCCACCAAGATGTGGTCCGCCTGCCGCACGCAGCGCTTCGTCCAGTCCTCGGAAGCGCCCGAGCGCCCGAGCGCCCGAGCACCCGCGCTTTTGGGTGAGGCTGGCAGCGGGCGTGTCTGGATCTCTCGATTGATCCCAGGTGGGGAGACGTGGTTTCTCTTCTTCTTTTTTTTTTTGGGGGGGGGGGGTTGAAAAGAAACACCCCTTTTCTGGGGGGGGGGGGGGGGTCTTTTTGTGGGGGGCCCATCTTTTTGTGGGTAGCCTTTATTGAGGGTACCCTGTTTGCGGTTGGTTTGAAGGGAACCCAAAAGGAAACCACCCTTTTGTCACCCTAGTTTCAAACAAGCCCACACCTGTCTATTGATCAAATGGATACCCTTCCTCCCGCCAGAAGCCATCTGTGTACCTTCATTGTTTCCTTGGGGCCCCTTGTTGGGTTCCATGGCAACGGGACCTTTGAAGGTTGGTTTCCTTTTAAGCTTTCACCATCCAACAAGGGGGGTCCACTATTTGGGTCTGTCTATTTGTTGAGGGTACCCCTTGTTTGGTATATAGGTTTTGAAAGGGACTTTCAAAAAGACACACCCATTTTGAGAAACACCCAATATTCAGCTTCCCCCTGATTGGTGATTGGTGGTTTGGAGGTTTGGGGGGTGGTTTCCCATTTACCCTCTACAAGAACCAGGGGTTCAAACCCCAAACCACAAATCCAAAACCACCAATTTCGGGATACTTACTTCCTGAGTGGACTGGCCAAAAAAAGTCGAACCAAACCGTGCTTGTACCACTGGAATGGTCCAAACAGAAAAAAACTTAAAGTCCGAAACGCAACTCAGTCGAAGTGAGGATAATTGAATGTGGGTTTCGATACCTGAATATGGGTGTTTCTCAAAATCGGGGACCAATTCCCCCGTTAGGTGGTTCATTTTGGTACAACCATCCAAAAAGGGGCTGAGAATCCCCCCCCCCCTTCAATATTCAGGCATCCCCATGCACCCCCCGTCCCCCTCCACAAATATGGAGCAGAATGCATCCAAACCACAAATGCAAACCACCAGATTGGGGCATAATGTTGACCCAGGATTAATAAACCCGTCCCTCTTTTTTTGGGGGGTGTTCCTTCCAAAAGTGGTCAATCCCCACTAAATGGGGACACCACAGGATCAAAATCAACCAGGGGTTCTACTTGGATCCGGAGTTGACATTAACACGGGTTGCTCCATGCATCCCTCTCGCCGGACAGTTTCTCTCCGATGTGCGGTGACTTTGCCCCCGCAGGCCGGCTCCGCCTCGTACACCAGCCACCTGCGGCGCTCCTGGAGCTCCGCGCGGTTTCGCGGGGGTTTGGGGGGGTTCCGTTTCGCCTGCCCGCTTGAGATCCCGTCTTTGGGTGCAAAACCCGAACCCCGCCCAAAAACACAAGAACGAAGAACAGCTAACATCAACTAACCAGCCCAGCAACCCAGCAGCCAAGCAACCAAGAGCCAAGCAGCCAACCAGAGTTAAGCTCCGGCCTGGGCTAGACACCCAAGCGTCCAAGGCACGCCCCCCCCCAGCAAAGCCATAGTTGTAAGTTCCAGACGTGGGTCAACCCTGTAGCTCTATGAATATGAATAAAATTTGGTTCACCAAACCACCAGGCCAACTCGTGCCAAAGGGAACTTCTGGGCGTATACCACTCGCCCATGTAAGCTTCGAAACATGGCTGTTGGGTGCCCTGGACTGGAAGCCGGTCAAGCCACAAGGTCAACCGAAGACTCTGTTTTGAATGCCAGTTTGCAGCTCAAACCAATTTGGGTGCGGCTCAAAATTAAACAGGAGGGGATACGCAGGTTTTGGTCCATGTTTCCACTTACCAGGGTTCCATTTTGGTACCGTGTTGTTTTTTGGGTTGAGCCACAGCCATTTGTGTTGGCTCAATCATGTTCCATGTTCAGAGGGGATTTCTCCCACCCGGCAGGGAACATCCCCGGATTGATACGGGGATTTCTCATGGGTCGTCTTTTGTGTCCTGTTTCTTTGAGGCTGGTATTCAGGGATCCGGATGCATTATACACCTGAACATTGCAACTTGTAAATGGCGGTTTCCCTTTCTTTTGGTCGAAAAAGCCATGCTTCAAATCGTTGCAACATGTATCCTTTAAGGAGCCCTGGTATTCTTTCCTGGGGGGAATTCAACAGCAAAACCGCAATCCACTTTGGGCTTTGATTCATCCCAATATTCAGTACAAAACAACGCGCTCTGGCCATGGTCGAGCTCCCTTGCCTTTGAAACCAAAAAGGAGTTCCAAGCTGCCGAAAAAGAGACACCTACGCAAATGCCGGGTTTCACTGGTTTCTTTTGCTTCACTCGTTTTGGCGCTTCCAACAGAAGCGGGCATTCCGAGCGACCGAAACCCATCCCGAGCGAGCCACGGAGAAACCCATTCCGGGGCCTCCATCTCCGCGAGCAAGCGCGCCAGACGGAACTCGTCCAAGGTCTTTGCAGAGCCCTTGGAAGCCAACAGGACACCGATGGCCCTGTGATCGAAACCATTTGCCTTAAGTCCACTGGAAAAAAACATATTTCCAGCAGTGATCGATTCCCTTTAAAAAACCAGCCGGGGAAAATAACAACATGTTCTTGAGAAGATGGCAGTGATTCCATGTCCCGGTGCACGTAGCGAAGGGACTGAAAGAGTTGATGGCACCCATCTGTGATTCTGTGGATGGTTGCGAAATCCATTTCGCGCCACTTGGAAACCATGGTTGCAACCATTGTTCGCTGCAATTTACAGGGAAAAAACATCATTCCAGGGTTTCTGAATGGTGGTGCGAATGGGTTCCGTCCATCCACAGTTCCATGTCCCGTAGCCACGTTAGCCAAGGGACTGAAAGAGTTGATGGCATGGGTGGCCTGCCTTTGCTATGGCTCTGAATCAGTATTGGATACACAGCTACAGTAACTATACGAAGGGTGCATACCCCGTTTTCCCCTGAGGTAGAAACCGTAGAGCAATGCTGCGTGCTCCACCACGGTGTTTTCCCCTAACATCAGCCCAAAAGGAAAACCTTGAAAACAGCCCATCGGAGGGCCCCAAACACTGTCGAGAGCCTTAAGCGGGTATTGGTCAAAATTGAACCACCAGGAAATGGAACGCAGGTTTTAGTCTTTCTTTCCATTTACCAGGGTTCCCTCAGTTGTTCAGTGACCCTGAAAGAAAGGGAACCCTTTTTGGGCAAGACCATTTTTAGTAGGGCAGCCACCAAAAGAAAGGGGGACAAATAATTGGTGCCACTGAACAACTGAGTTCCATTTTGGGTATCTATTTTTGACCCACACCCAAACCACCGGGTCTCCGCCCACCGAACGGCCTTCAGCAGCGGTGAGAAGAAGAGGTGGGTGGAGGGGGAGATGTGCATCGTCGTGCCCAGCTTGCTCAGAGCCTTGGCGATGGAGGGGGGATAGGCATGGGTCTTGGCTAAAACACATGTATCTGTATACTATAAGTATACCTAAATATGCATCTCTGTATGCATATAGATGTATTCCTACGCGGAACATATTAGATTCTGATTTATACTGGGTCTACCGTTTCCCTCTTCTTTTCTTTCCTTTTTTTTTCTTCAGCCATTCAACTGCCGGTCGAGCCGTCTCGATCGAGCTGCCGTGGTGAGCTCTGAGCAGACCCGGGTGATGTCCACATTTTCGGTGGCCGGCACCACGGTGATGGTCGTCTTGTACTTGGCGCTCGAGATGTCCTCGAGGAGAAGCGATTCACTGGCCACCGAAACTTCGACCCGGGCAAGAGACGAATGGCTCTCTCTCAATTTTTTGTTGGGGGGGGGGGGGCGGAACCCCTTTTTTTCGTTTTCACAGTGATTCCAGTTGCCACTATGGGAGGCAACCACGGGAACCGTTCAAAACGAAAAGGGAATTGGGCGGTTCCCTATTGTGGTAAGTGGGATCCACTGGGTTTGATTCTAAATTGGGAGCCAAAAGGAAAACCTTAAGCCACATTTGGGGGTGCCCGATTTTGAGACAAAGCCATAGGCAGCCAAGGGAGCCATGAATGTTGAATTTGGGTTACCACAGAATAACCATGGTTGCTATTTGGGTTAGTTCCACATAATCACATACTGTAACCATGTGGGTCATAACCATTGTAACCATAATGAGGTTATAAAAAAAAAGCCACCCTTGGATTAGTTCCCCTTACCATGGTTACAGTCCAAGTGGCTTGACCTATCCCCTCGTTTCCCTTGAGCTCCATTGGTTCAACTCCGAAAGGAGACGAGCTGTGCCAGAGGAAACCAAAAGACTTGCTGCCTCGGGATAACAAAACCCAAAGAAATGGGAAAACTTGTTCAACCCAGTAAAAAGGAAGCCAAAAGGGAAAAGCAGCTAAGGAATGTGCGGTGTTCCTTTGGAATATGGATTCCAGCGGTATGAATGACTAGAACCAAAGTAACACCATTGGAATCCATCAATCTCAGCCAACCCGAAACCGTGAAGCGTGTCAAACAAGACCAACCGCCCCCCGAAGTGTGTCGTTATCAAAAGAACATCCGTATAACTCCATGTAAACGCATGGCTTTTGGTGCATGCCCATGCCAGGTAGCCCGATCGCAGGACGAGCATGAGCGGAAGCAAACATCAACAGAAACAAATTGCCAGTGCCATCTAGGGTCAATGCATCTTTGCATTGGAATTCCAACAAATTGGCAACCATGGTTCTTGAGCATGAGGAATCTGTTGTGGGATCAAATGAGGAAGCAAGGGTAACAAACCAACCCATCTCGTTGTAAGGGATCCCTCGTGATTCCATACAAGGCATTGAACCACGACTTGGGGGGACACGCTTGCCACATAGCCGTACTCTCCTACACTTTCTGGGATCCTTCTCCGAAAAGTGGACAAAGACCCCGGGAAAATGCATGGTGTATGGGAGAACGATGGGTGCAGAGAGAATGGAGGACGGGAAACCAACCCGTATGCCGAGAAATCCTACACTTGGCTCGATTATCCACATGAGTCATCGATGACATCCTCACCCCTGGGCAAATTAAAATGGAAACCAACAGAAAACAGTTGCCATTTTGCACTGGTCCTTGTTTGGACTAGAAAGAACAACCCTAGCCACAGTTGGGTGTGTCTGGGTTTTTGACCCTCTTTTGTGTTGCTTGAAAGGAACAGCCAACAGGAAACCACCAAATTGGGGGGACCCCCCACCCCTTTGAGACAAAGCCACTGGTGTTCTACAGCCGCTACAACCGACCTGCTGAATTGGACAATTGTTTCAGCCCATGCTAGAATCTGAAATCGTTTGCAACGCCTCTCTAGTTTCTTCCAATGGGATCATTCCCCAACCTCAGCTTGTGACCCGCACAAAACAAACATGCTTGATGGTGGTGCACATGTTTAGTGAACCCAACAACATACGGTTCCGGTTCCTTTTTCATGCTCCCTTTGCAGCAACTGTGAAGGCCTAGGAACAAACAACCTCGAACCAGCAAGGTGACATCCTTGGTGTTGCCCTCTTTTAAAGGAACACCGCTCCCAAAGTAACTTCGAGACTCCCTCAACATGCAGCCACTTTAAGTGGGATCCAAAAAAAAAGAATGTGTTTGCTCTTCGTGGGCTTATCTTTGAACCACGCTGTATAGTACATCCTCAAATATTCACTTCACGGAACTCAACACACTCGGAGCATTTTCGGCAGCTCACTGTCCTCCACTTGGGAGGGCCGGCTGCCAATGTACGCGCTGAAGTGCAAGATCGCCTGACCGCGGTGGTTTCAGCTCACGCGATAAACCTTTGGCCTTTGGCCAAAGAGCTTTGAGGTTTCTTTTGACCCCTCTACAAAAGAAGTTTGAACTTTTGGCGAGCCCAATGAAAAAACCACTGTTTCAACCAAAAAGTTGAAGGCCAAAGATCCGCTACCACACCCTAAAGAGACAAGCTCAAAGGTCCCAGTTGCCCGATGGTTTTATAGGGACCCCGTGCAAGGAAACGGATGCCACAGGTTGGGGGAGCACCTCTGAAGGTGAAAGATGCACCAATCCGAGCCGAGTCCAAAGAACGATGCCACTACGGGTTGCCTGATTTTTGCCAGGCGTCCATTTTCAGTGCCGGTCTTGGCTGCGGCTCACATACTTTAAGGAACGATTGGGGAAACAACTCTTTGGCAACTGATTGGAACCATACGGAATGAAGGCGTGCTTTGGCAAACCAATCGGAATGAGGAGAAGAAGACCGTCAAAACAAACAGTACCGACGGATAACAACATCGTAAGATCCACAAAGCTGAGAGCCACATCAGAAAGAAGTGTATAAACTCTTCTTTCATGAAACACCTACCACTCACGACCATTTGTTTAAAAACAAGAACACACAATCAATTATAAGCAACAAACAAACAAACAAACAAACAAACAAACAAACAAACAAACAAACAAACAAACACACAAACAAACAAACAAACAAACAAACAAACAAACAAACAAACAAACAAACAACAAACAAACAAACACACACACAAACAAGCAAGCAAGCAAGCAAGCAAGCAAGCAAGCAAGCAAGCAAGCAAGCAAGCAAGCAAGCAAGCAAGCAAGCAAACAAACACACAAACAAACAAACAAACAAACAAACAAACAAACAAACAAACAAACAAACAAACAAACAAAACAAACAAAACAAACAAAACAAACAAACAAACAAACAAAACAAACAAACAAAACAAAACAAAACAAACAAACAAACAAACAAACAAACAAACAAACAAACAAACACACGCACACACAACAAACAACAACACCAACAAGGCCTTCAAAACCAAATTACCTTGAACCAAAAGGACACGAAAATGCTTCTTGGAGCTTCCCGGGGATTCTTTGAATATCGGTGCCACTCCTAAAAACTTGGGACCTAACCCATCAAAAGGTACGGACACTCCAAGGGAAGGGGCCCTGTGCTGCTTCCTTTTGCGGCTTGCCCTAGATCTGCCAGTCACAGCTCGCTGTCAGCGACTGACATGGACCCACATTGTGAATCCATGTTGGGCCTGTTGGCGGCGACTGGCTTAAGCCAATGGTTGATGAGCACATTTACCAGTGGTTCATGCCAAAGGTTCTAACATTGTGGGCTCATTGCAGTGCCGGCTGCAAAAATTGCTGGAAGAACCATGACGGTTACTTAGCGCCCGACATATCCTTCACAGATTCGTGGCTGATGGGGCGCAGACACGCATTTTAGATCCTCACCTTCTGACGGGAAGGCTCCCATATTTTTACCCGCAGGCCGAGGTCATCCAGGGTCAGCAAAAGGCTTCAGCCTTCGTGGGGCTCTCATGAACTCCTTTCAATTTGCCCCAAATATACTTCAACGGAATCTTGTCATGCAATTGGTTCTCTCTCTCTCTCTCTCTCTCTCTCTCTTCCTCCATTTGCTTAAGCCCCCTGGAAAAATATCACTATTTCCAGCCGTGAAAGATCGATTCCCTTCAAAGCCAACAGGGGAAAATAAACACATTCTTAGGCAAATGGAAGTCTTAGAGTGCTGTTTCCGCCTGCGGGAAGTCCATAGCGATCAGCTGCAGCAGCGTGGGAGACACCCGGCACAGCTCGGTGTCTCGAGAGGCTAGCAGCGTGGCGCTGTACGGGCACCGCCGCAGGCAATCCTTAGGCGGGTGGCAATAGTCAACCCCCTCTCCTGCTTTTTTGAGGGAACCCCCCCGTTTGGTTGGCTTTAACAGGGAAACCCCCCTCCCTCTCTTTGGCTTTTTGGGGGAACCCCGTATTGGTTAGTTTTTTGAAAGGAACATCACAATTAGGGGGGTTCCAACTTTGAAACCGACGGTAACTTTGCAAGCCCCTCACAATGCAACTGCTTCATTTAATTCCTGCCTGCATTTGCAGAACAAGGGTGTCCAAACTGCCGGTTTTCCGCTGAAACCGGTCCGAATCCAAACAGTGCCGCAGTCCGGGAAGTTCTCCGGGACTGCAAACAGCGGGGTTCCCTAGATATCAACACCTAGGTTTTCCAGTAGAGAGGTTAGAATAAGGGTACCCGATTTTTTCTGTAGTCAATTTTAGTGAGGGAAACCTAGACACTCCGTTTCAAACCTCCGGTGATGGAATCCATGCTCTCGGGCCATGGAATCCAAGCATCAAGCTCGCCGCAGAGGCGGCCGCGCTGCAAGATGTCGGTGACTTTCAAGCCTGGCTTCTCCAATCTCCCGATTTTGGACATCTCCCTCCATTTGCTTAAGCCCTCTGGAAAAAAAAACAGTAGTGATAGATTCCCTTTAAAACCAACAGGGGGGGGGAAAAACATCTTAAGCAAATGGAAGTCTCGGGCCTACCGTTCGAAACCCTCAGGGCTCGAAGAAAACGCTCGCGGGTTCTAGAAGGGTTCTGAGAACCTTCCTGGGCAGAGGCAATGATTCGCCCAACGCTTTCCCTGCTAGACAACCCCAAACAGGCGGAAAACTCCCCAAACACCACAGGCTTTCCTGGAAATCGTACCCTGAAGCATCGAAGCCAAACTCCGGGGTAGACATGCTGAACGGTTCTGTCGTTTTGGAGACGCCCAACACTGCCGAAGCCGCCACATGTGTCTCCCACAAGCTTTGACTCTGCACCTCCAAAAGGAATCTCGCTGATTTCTTTTAGGGGTGTCTGATTGGAGAAAATCAGAAAATCGAGGTGTTGGTTTTTTCCCGAGCTCCGTCTACCCGGCCTTTGGAAACCAACCTATCCGACAGGAAGGAACCAGTGACGATGCTGATTTGTGCTACACTTCGGGTGGGAAAGAGAAACAGGCAACTGGATGAATAATCACCATTCACCAACCGTGAATAAGGGTCAACCCCCGCAAAGGGAGCCTCCATCATGAGGTTGAGGCCAGAAACCAAACCCTTTTGCCAAGTAACTTGCTAGACTTTTCTCAGGGATAACGTATAACTTACCGGTCTGAAAGGTGTTTTTGAGGGTCCAAATCCTCATTTCGAGAGTTTTTGGTTTGGTCGTGTGTGGGGTGCAGCAAAACGGGTGTGCAATGCACAAACCCCTGCCTCCATCCACCCAGCCCCTGAACCCCGCCACATCCTCCCCATAGAGCCCTCTCTCCCCTCCCTTGCCGCGCCTGTCCCGCGCTTGGCGCCTTTCTCTGGCACATCCAGCGCCACGAGGCGACCGGACCTCCCATTCGGCCGAAGCCAAGACAAAAGTTCGGGGGTGTCTGTTGTTGGGGAAGTGGCTTCAATGGAAACCCAAAGGGTAATCCTAAAAAATGATTTTGGGGAAGATTGAAAAGGGAAACCCAAAACCCCAACCTCGCCGACCTTGCAGGGTACACAAGGACAACCTCACAGGGCGCACAAGGAAAAGCAAAGGGTTGCTCTGCTGGTCCAAGGTCACTCGCAACCCCCCCAAATCCGCAGGACCTTGCAACTCTGGAAACTTTGAAATGTGGAACGCAGGTGTTGCTTCAAAACCCTAGAAGCCCCTTGATCCCATTCCCATGCTAGCCTTCAAACACCTCAATCCCCCCATCACCCCCAACCCTCCCCCCGAAACCCCCAACCCCGTTCTCCAAACCTGGGCCCCGCGCAATACCATGAAGAAGCCGCACATCTCGTCCCCCGCGCGGAAGAGGCACGAGCCCCCCTCCACCGAGAGCCAATCCAAACACGCGTCCACCCGATGCAGCCAGCTGGCCGTTCGGCCTTGCAAGATGAGGCGCCGGCGTTTGTCGGTCCCAGTCACCCGAAAGACGCTTTTCCAGCCCCAAGCTTCCTCTGGTTGGCCCCCCGAACAGAGGTCCCCCAATCCCAATAGAAAAAACAACGCCGCGAATGAGTTCTGGGAAACTTCCCCTCTTTGAGGGACCCCCTGACAACCATGGGATGCTTTCTGGCAAACTGGAGGTGAAAAAGCAGGTCTACGGTTGGAAAAACAGGGTCCCCGCACTAAAGCCCACCTAAGGGACTGGTGCCTTAAATAATTCGACCCCGGCTTGCCCCAATCACAACCTATGCAGCAGGTCAGGGACAACACCAAAAAATCAGCTGAAAGATGTCGGCGGCGCCTTTTGAGTTTGTGCATTGGTTTTGGTACTGCTGCACTCCTCAGTGGATCTTGGATGAACAGGGTGTGTTTCCTCCAAACGCCTTTGTGGAAAGCCATGAATCTAGAAACCGGTTGGGCCGTTTTGTGGATTCCACCTGCTCTTCCTGTTGGTCCCTGGTTCGTACGCTTTGGGTCATCTTTTCCTATCCCAAAGGGGGAGGAACCACAAACGCAACGCCGCGTCCAACCTGTGTTGGTCATCCATCCCAGTTGTCCAAGGGCGCCCCTCTCATGAGGCCCACATGATTCTCCATTTTACAGTCAGGGAAACTATTGTTGCATGTAAAGGGCCGCCCAGAATAAAAGAACATGTGCCCCACTTAATTACGAGCTCAAAACACAACTTACCGCCGCTCTCTTCTTGAATCGCATGGACCAACGGTCCCACACCCATTCACTCAAGGTGTGCTTTTTTGGAGTTGGTACCCCCCCTTTTTGCGGTTCGAAAAGGAACACCTTGAAGAAGACGGTGGAAGATGTCTGCCGCAAGGCAAACACCTTACAGCTTTTCAAGCGGGCCAAACTTAAGCGCCTCGAGTTGAAGCTTCAATTCATAGCCTGTGCGCGCAAAACATATATACATAAATAAATATATATATATATATAATATTAGTATGGCTCTGGGTCAAACCCTGTGCCCCTCCTGGTGAACATCACAATAGGTGGTACATGGGTGTTCATCCGCCCCAAAATGGAGGCATAGGTTATGACCCATGGCCATATGATAGAAATACGGTGGCATATTAACCGGGATTCTGGAACATCGGCCAATGGGTAGGATCATCTTGCATTTTTTGGGGGCTTCGCGACGTGCAGACAAATCCACAGAGGTCGACATGTGCCTTCCAACTCCCGACAAATCGTCAGAGGTCGACATAGGCCTTTTGGTTCCCTGCACGGGGCTTCCGCTCAGAAACCCCGAAGGTGTTGCCAAATCCAGGAATTTGAGTTCTTTGGACACGACAGGCACATCCAAAACACAAAAACCAAACAAACATCGAGGGAAGAATGGCCGGAACCCGGCATGGGTTTGTCTCATGGAAGCCCATAATGGTTGGCTTCCCTTTAGTTGCCCTTTAACACCGAACCGAAGGGCACCTAAAGAAAGACGCACCTATTATAAATGTGTGGCTTCCCTCTGGTCTTCGCTCTTTTGAAGCAACCAAACGGGGGTCACCCAACAACGGAGCCACACCCACCCGCCCTGAACGGATTTTTCTTTCGCCTACGATGAGGTGCAGCAAGGTCAGGGTGAACGCGCGAGGGCACTGCTCCAGCAGCCGCATGCAAACCTGATCCAACCACATGGGGTGTACCACCAGGCAACAAAAACTGCAGCCTCAGTGTGTGTGTGTGTGTGGTGTGGTGTTGGTGTTGGTGTTGGTGTTGGTGTTGGTGTTGGTGTTGGTGCTGGTGCTGGTGCTGGTGCTGGTGCTGGTGCTGGTGCTGGTGCTGGTGCTGGTGCTGGTGCTGGTGTTGGTGTTGGTGTTGGTGTTGGTGTTGGTGTTGGTGTTGGTGTTGGTGTTGGTGTTGGTGTTGGTGTTGGTGTTGGTGTTGGTGTGTGTGTGTGTGCGGTTTTGCGAGACAATGGCTTTCTTTTGTAGGGCACCCCTTCGTTTTTGGTTGGCTTAAAAGGACACCCACAAGAAACTGCCCCTTATTTTGAGACGACCTGAAGTGGCACACGGCATTTGAGCTGACGAGACTTCGACAATCAACTGATGGACTGCCCAAAAACCGGCTGGCCAACAGGCCTTGTTTGTTGGTAACCTGGAGGGAGTGCTAGTCAGTCGAAAAATGGATCAACCTCTGGGCCGGATTTGGCCGAAGGGGTATAGTAATGGCGATGGTAAATATCAAAAAGTTCCCATAGTCCCCATGTAGCCGGGCGAGTCGAACGCTGCAATACCATCAAGAAATTGGGGTTACTCACCAAAATGGGGGTGAAGGTGTCTTGTTCCCCAAGCTGACATGGGACAATTTGTGAGTCCCCTGTCTTTGTCGGGACGCCTCATATGGATGGCACCAGGGCCTGAATATGGATGTGTGTGTGAGGTTTTGAGCGTACCATTTTCAACTTGGTTTAAAGGGAAACTCTTTTGTGAGTCCTGTCTTGACACATATGAAATTGTCTGAAGATTAGGGGACCCCAAAAAGGGCTTCGGTTTTCCTTTTGGTTTCCCTTTTGACTGAATGGCTTTCCTGTAGGTTTGCCAGACAATGGGCACCCTCAAACACCGACGCGTACCCAAGTTCCACCGTGGCATCCCGCCTCGCGGGACAGCGCGGCAAACTTGCAGCGCGAGACGCAGCGGTAGTGGACGGGCCTCGGGATATCGCGACGGGCGGAAGCGCGCGGGGGACCTCCGGGCGGAGTGGTGGGGTTTCGGCGCAGGACAAGAAGTCCCGGCTTCGAGAGTCATGCCAAGCATGTCTTGAATAAAGACGGATTGGGTTTGGGCCGTCACCCACCCAAAACAGGGGTGCTCCAAACTTGCAAAAGGTTTGTCCCTGGCCAAATACAGCCAAAGGACCCAATTGTGGTCATTGGAGCAACCCTGCTACAAGCCGGCGACAGAAAATCACCAAACACAAACCCTACTCTAAAATGGGATATTTTGCTAAACCCTTTAATCAGCTGAAACGGGATTTGCCTTCTGGACCCCCACCCTTTACTTTCTCCTCAAGGACCCGTGACCACCCCTAGTCTAAAATAGAGGTGTACCTACCCCAATATGGTACCATTGGTGTTAACAGGAAGCCACTTCAACAAACCCCGTGTCTCTGCAACTACATCTGCGCCAACCACGGATCATTGGATCCGTGCGCGGGGTCGTGCGCACGAATTTCCGTGCAGCCCATGTCCCCGACTCCAAACCCATCGGGAAAGTGCCTCAGATGTTCTGGCTGCTGCCATACGTTATAAAGTGCGGGAATGAAACAGTTTTGAGGATTCCCTTAAGCGAAACCACCAGTTTGATGGTTTAGTTCGGGGTTGCTCCAATTCTCATTCCCTGCTGAGCACCAGCAAGTATTGCGGATTGATGCTTGGGCTTTCTGGACGAATCGTCAACCAAACCCAATGCCACATAGAGTACTTGGGTTCATGGGACATCGACAATCATCCTCACAATTTACCATCACATTCCTCGCATCCACCTGAGCCAGAGGAAAAAACAACAACTTCGTTGGCTCCGCAACTAACTCATTGGATTTTGGGGAGCGATCCAGGCCCAGAGGTAAGCGGACCCCCCCCCCCCCCAAGCCCAAGCCCTTAGCAGCAGATGCTTATCCCAGGTCCCGAAAAATCACCACCCGGCGACTCCAGTTCCCTGTATAGCCGCCCATTTGCTCAAGGTTCCTGGAACAAATCAACATATTTCCAACAGTGATAGCCACAGGGGGAACATGCACAATATTCTTGGGAACATGGAAGTAGCCAAGGAACCAGCCTTCAAAAACCAACACATGGCTGGCTAACTGCTATGGTCGTTACTTGGGTCAGTGCAGGGCATGGCAAAGACTGCAGCGTTTTTGGTGGCTTTGGATGGTACCAACACTCGGGGAGGTGGGGTGCAGACCTCACTCACATCCTCACTCACAGCAACAATCATAGCTTTTCAACCCATGCGAAGATCGCTTCCCTCTGCCGGCAAATGCAAGAGAAAATTCTTCCCAGTGGGACCCCCAGTGGGCGTCCTCCGTGAGGGGTCCCGTGATCCTGCGCAGCTCTGTCTGGGAGGCCCGGCGATGGCTTGTCGGTTAAAATTGACAGCTCGCCTGGCTGACTTGAGACATGTCGCCGACCCATGCGCGACCGGCGAGAAAGCTCTTCTGGCGTGAGGCAAGTGAGCAAGTGGTGGAGATAGGGGCCGAAGCCATGGACCTGAACGTGCCCCATTCAGTGGTTCTAGCCATGGATACTCACCACTTCCTACCCTGCCCCTTTCAGTACACTGCCTGAACACCCCTGTCAACGAGTACAGGGCAATGTTGGATGCCCAACAAGTGGCAAGAACAAAACCGCCAAAAGGGTGTTCAAAGGCAGAGAAGGTTGATTAAGTCGAAGAAAAGAGGGAACCACGGGTTATAAAGAGGTGACCAAAAGGGTTATTTTCAACCCTGGAGCCTGCGTCAAAACAGGTCATAGGTTCGCTCAATCGCTCCAGCGCGCATGTGCAGTCAGATCCATGCGGCCAAGGCCTGGCGTGTTACATGTGAGCCACGGCCAAGACGAGTCTCCCAGGGTCCCGCGGGGATGCGGGAAACCGCTTGGCCGCCATGGCCCTCGACATTTTGAGGAGCAACTTTTGAGGAGCCTCATACATGAAGAAAAACAACGCGCAAATTGGCTATGAAGCAATTATTAACTCTTTTCTGTTGTTACTCAACATGACTTGTCACCCACACAAAATATGCCACAACAGCACACTTCTTGCGTATATATGCTCACACCCCTGTCTTGAAAAAAAGAGGATTTTGGACAGTTTGAAGTGGAAAGGTAGGCACTGGAAGGGGGGGAGGAGGAGAGCATATATGTATATATGTATAGAATTAAACTAATACACACACATATATCTCTATATATATAATATAAACATACACAATACATATATATATATATGCACACTTCCTTTTCTGTATATATATATATATATGTCTATGCATCTCGCTCTCTCTCTCTCTCTCTCTCCCACGCCTAGGGCGTCGCCCAGCGACACCGGCGGGCGCGGCCCGCCGGCCTGCACCTCCACCGTCACCTCGCCTCGGGGTTCGGAAGTTGGAAGTCGCGCTTGGCCCCGAAAACTTGCCGCTCAGACGCAGGGAATGAGACTAGGTCCAGTATGTTCGGGCTACAAGTTGAAACTGGTATTTTGGTTCCAGCCACACAAAGACAACTAGGTCCTCCAGGAGAGAGGTTAGAATAAGGGTACCAACTTTTTTCTGTAGTCTATTTTGTAGAACCCTCCCAAAGAGGGAATTTTCAGGTCCCATTTGGGTTTTTGCGGAGTGGCAGAACATAGGGCGACCCTCCAACTACCCTTTGCCCAGACAACTTGCCAGTGCGATAGACGCAGGGAATGAGCATTGGAATGACCCCGAACCAAATCATCAAACTGGCGGTTTTCGAAAACTTGGCCTTTGGGTTGTTCCCGAACTGTTGCTGTGCGCGACCGCTTGACGCGCGAGGGGCCGTAAGGGGCTGAGGCTAGGAAGACATTGCGCAATGCACAAAAAACCATGGCCTTTGGTTTTTCCTAACTGTTACTGTTTGGTTTCTCTTTTGAAGCGTCTGTTTGCTATTTGGCACCCAGTGAGTAATAATGGGGGTGCGGGGGGTATCGAAAAGTTGTTTGCCGGTGCTCAGCAGGGAATGAGAATTGGAATGACCCCAAACTAAACCAGCCAACTGGCGGTTTCCTTTGATCGAATCCCTGGGTTGGCCCGAAAGAATCTGAAGCAAGGCCCTCCAGGCTCCAGATTTGAGGGGCTGAGGGCGGAAAGGCCTGAAAGTCGGACTTAAAATCTGGAGGGCCTTCAAACAACTTTCAGTCAGTCAGTCAGTCAGTCAGTCAGTCAGTCAGTCAGTCAGTCAGTCAGTCAGTCAGTCAGTCAGTCAGTCAGTCAGTCAGTCAGTCAGTCAGTCAGTCAGTCAGTCAGTCAGTCAGTCAGTCAGTCAGTCAGTCAGTCAGTCAGTCAGTCAGTCAGTCAGTCAGTCAGTCAGTCAGTCAGTCAGTCAGTCAGTCAGTCAGTCATGTTTTCCCGTGCTAATTGGCTGCGGGAAGTCGCTTCTTTACAGGCGCATATGGCTGTCTTAGTTTTACCCCTAAAATGGTCTGCCCAACGGATTGGAAGTCAGGGAGTGAGGCGTGAAAACGAAACCCGACTCTGTCTAAACGGGAAGCAACAGGCTGTTGATTTTTTTCGGTCTAAGTCGGTCGGAGTTGCTTTTTCGCTATTTGCACAGGCGTGGCGAAAAAGCCGATGCTTGTACTCCAGCAGTGGAGACCTGGAATCTGAACGTCCATAGGACATCAGCTGGGCTAAAGGGCAAAACCGCCAATGGCGATGTTGGGAGAACCTCTGCTGGGTATGGGTCAAAATTGAACCACCAGGGGACCGCAGGTTTGGGTTCATGTTTCCACTTACCAGGGATCCATTTGGGGTACCTATTTTTGACCCACAGCCTGCCGTATTTTGGGGAAGCGCAATCGGCTCACGGATTTGCCCGGCCTTCCAAGAGGATCATCAGATGCTTGGCGCGGGTCTGCGGGGCGAAGACCAGGTCCCCTGCTTCGCAGGTGAGGGTCTCCGCGTGCGTCAGCTCCTGGCGTGGCATGGCGTTTAGGGAGGTCTGGAGCAGAGACTTCCTGTATTCTTCGATGCCAAGCATGTTGCAAGGAGGCCACGGACACTATTATTATTGTTGTTAGAACTATTACTACGTATTATGAATTCGTACTACTGGTGTCTTAGCTACAACAAAAAACAACCATGAGCAAACATGTGGGGCAGATTCAGCAAGGAGCTCGGTATTGAACGTCCTTATGATGTAGGTAATGTCGTTTTTAGTCCAGCCCCCACTTGACCCCACTCCCAAAATTTTCTGGAATGGCGGGCAAGAGTTGATTTGGGATGGGTTTGGAACACACCCTGCTCGCGCTGTGCAGTGGTTCGGCTTGGCTTTAGGGCCGCGTTTGGTTTGGCCATGTTTGGTCGTCGGTTGGCTTGCTTCCAAAAAGTGTTGTTGAAACCGAATTGAAAGCACGCTCTGCATGGGTGTCTTTTTTGAGGGTCATCCTTTTTGGGGTGGGCTTAAAATGGAACCAACAGGAACACCATTGAGGGTTCCCCCTTTTTTGACACACGGAATGTGGCTCCGATTGTCCAAACAACCGCCAACAAAACCCTGTTGGATCCTGTCATGTTGGTTTCCTTGCAAAGACTGATGGTTGAGCGGAAATTTAACCATAGAAAGTGGAACCCCCGGCGCTATCCGAACCAAGCCTAAGGGCCTAGGCGAGCCACTTTCCAGGGCGCGTGGTGGCCGACTGCATTGACATGGACTTTCCAAACGGATTTTGCAAGGCACTAGGTCTCCAGATTTGAGAAGTTAGAATACGGGCACCCTTTCTTCTCTCTGCATTCTATTCTAGGAGGGGAACCCTCCCAACCAAAAAAAGCTATTCTAGTAGGGGAACCCGCCCAACCAAAAAAGGGGGAAAGGGCACTACTGGGGGACCTAGTGCAGCACGCTCAAAAACATGTTTCGAGCAAACCTCATGCGTGCCGATCAGCAAACCGCATGGCCACACATCGCAAGAATTCGCCTGCAACGACTTCATGCGTCAAGCCCCCTTTTAGCATGGCCAACACACACACACACACACACACATCGCAAAAACTGGGGCCGCCTCTTTCGACAAGAACTTCGCCCCACTCCGACGCCCGGCCTTCGCCGCCTTCTCGCCACAGCCCTTAAACAGCTGCCGGAAGGCCTGTCACATGCTTGCGCTTAGGGCACTCAGATTGTGCCTGCTGACGCGCGCAGCAGGCACAAAGTTGGACCGTTTTGGACTTTGCCGTTTCCGGACATGGGCCACAGTGCTTCCGGGTCCAAATACAAAGAACAAACGTGGGCCTGAAGAGATACAGCTGAAAGATAAGTTCAACTTTATCCTGGCCTCTTGTTGAACTTTTGCAACTTGGCCCAAATAGGAGTGAGGGCTTGTACTTGTAACCTTGGTACATCAAACGTCAATGGTTTGTGGGCGCTGCCCAGTTCGTGCTTTCAGGGGTTAGAATGGAGCTTGTTGGAGACACAACACCTCGAACCGGAAAACCGGCGCCATGTATGGGGGGGCCAGTTTTGGACTCGTACTTGAGTTTCATTCAACCACCCCCCCCCCCGCCCCCGAAACACCAGGAATGATGCGACCCTGAAGGTCACGCAAGTTTCTGGCGGCCGGTACCACCCTTGGTGTTCCCGGAAAAGGTGGCATCTAGAAAGCCAGCATACAAATCCCTCACTCCTTGAGTGGATTGGCCAAAACAAGTCCGAACTTCTTGTCTACCACTAAAAGGGTCTTTCCAGAAACCTTAAGGGAACTCGGGAAGCGAGATCCCAAGCACACCATACCCGTGGCCCGGCCAGCTTCGAGCGTTTTGGCTTTGCCCTCCGAGTCTCGGGCACACCTGGATGCATCATTTCTCTGCGCTCCATGAAATCTTTGCATTTTGAGGTTGTCAAGATACTTTCGGGGGGTTCTCAACCGCCATTTAGAGGCATCATTGTTCAGTGACTGCGGAGGGCAACTTACTGGACGCAGTTTCTCCAGTCACAAGTGCTCAGGCTTTGAAATGTGGTTGAATCAACCCGATTCCTTTTGCGGAAGCCGCCAGTTGGCTTCTTTTTCTTTTTTCTCGTCATTCCACTTCTCATTCCCTGCATCTCTCGCACGCAACTCAGCCCTCTTTCGATCCAAGCCCCAAGGCCCCCTGCGTCCAGTGCGAGGCTCGCTGGTCGCCCCAAAAGGCACATGCTCTGACCAACAGATGCTTGAACCCACCCTTTGAAGGGACACGGGCGCGTCCTTTTCTCGAAAGACCCCGCAAAATTGGGGATCCTTGTGGCTTTCCTTTCAAGCCGCCAAAAACTGGCAGCCTCAAACGACACACACACACACACAAAGCTTTCTGGGAGCGACCAGTCCCCGCCCCGAAAAAAACAAAAAAATCCCGGGGGATGTCTCTCTCGTTCGTCCCCGCCTCCTCTGGCGCACACTCCCGGAGCTCTAAGGCCTCAAGGAGCTGGGCGAGGTGGACCAAAGGTGGCGTCAAGATCAAGACCATACTCTCTTGGTCTCACTTCCCAAGTTGACTGGCCCAAAAAAGATTTAGAACTTTTTATTTGCCACTAAAATTTGGTCTTTCCAAAAAGCTTGAAGTCCACCAACTCAGGAAGTGAGTGGTTGCTGCTGATCCCCCTGCAGCCAAGAAACTTGTTGCGGGAAAAATGGGACACCCCTTCATTTCCCAACAAGCCAAAGCCTAAAAATCCAACCCAATTTTGAACTTTGCAAGGGATAGTGGCGTGTGTCAAAATAAGTGAACGCGCTTTGGTTTCCATTTAGCTTTCCTGCCAGCGAAACCAAGGACTCTGGCCGAAAGGCAAAGGACTCGCTGAAACATCAAAAGGACTGGGCCAAACCCAAGCAGGGCAAAATCAGAAGTACCCCTGACATCCGGTCAAGCAGGTCCCTGCTCTTGCAGCCTCAAGAGCCTTGAACGTCGAGGGCGTCATAAACTCCATCCTGGCGCAGGAGAAGAAGCGAGAACAAGTCTATTGATTCAACCCCTGTACTTGATCGGATGGTCATGGACCCCTCAATTTGGATGTTTAGGCAACCATGGCAACGATTTGTGTTCTGATCCACAGGTGGCTTTGACCATGGCACGCATATAATATATCGGTTGAGGTAGAGAAAAGTCCCACCTGTAGATCCTTTACAAGTCCAACGATTGCTTTTCGGATTTTACTTAGGGTTTCAACATGGAAAATCAGGCCGTTGGTGCTTCAAGATGGAATACCCACCCAAAACCCACGGAGGAACGCTCGTTGGTTGTATTGATCTCAGGGCAAAGTGAAGCCACGGGCCAGATGTCAGACATCCGAGCTGAAACATTGCTGGCACCCTGTACGAGAATGGAACACAAATCAACCCATAGCATCACACCAAAGCAGCGCACAAGCCCCAATTATTGCCTTTTGATGGTTTATCTAGGCCTCACCATACTCCTTACTGAACCAGGTGGTAGATCTCTGAATTGGCCAGCAGAGGTGTTTGGGTGTTGCTGAGAGTCACAGAGGTGACTTACCAGACAGCCCTGGTACCTCCTTTCGCACGCCTATAAGAGACTTGGCCACATTAGAGGCTCGTGAGGGGGTACATACGCGAGTACATGGGTGTGTCTCAAAATCGGGCGACCCCCCCCTCCAAAAGGGTGATCTCATGTTGATGTCCCTTTGAAACAAATCAAAAGGGGTGTCCCAAAAAGAAAAAAACCCGCAGAATTCAGTCGACCAGTCACAAAGCCTGTGAATGGAACTATGGCGTCCAACAGATTCCTGCGAGTTTCCCATGGAATCGGCTCGAACCAGATATACAACTCCTCCTGCCCAAAACCACACGACCTCACACCGATTTCAGTTCCCAGTTCTCTGTCCTAGTCGTTTTTGAAGCGGCGAGGCAGGTGGGGAGGCAGGTGGGTGCAGGGTCCCAGGTCCCCAGGATGCCCTTTTTTCTTCCGCACCCCCACCAGACATTCGCTTTACATGCCCCAGAAAAGGTACGTCCTGGCAGCCCGGCCGGGGGGGGGGGTGACAGGGGGTGATCATCAGTCGGCCCTCTCCTCAGGCCGAAGTAGGTGGACAGCGTATCAAAGACCACAGTGGAGAAGCGCACAGAGAGGCGCTGCACTAGCCACTGCATGGCCTTGGGAAACCTGCAGCCATGAAGGACATAGGGATGTATGTATGAATGTATGCTGCATGTATGTGTGTATATGTGTACGTGTGTGTCTGTGTGCATAGGTGTGTGTGTGTGTGTGTCTGTATGTCTGTATGTGTCTGTATGTGTCTGTATGTGTCTGTATGTGTCTGTATGTGTCTGTATGTGTCTGTATGTGTCTGTATGTGTCTGTATGCGTCTCTCTGTGTGTGTGTGTGTGTGTGCGTGTGTGCGTGGTTGCGTGGGTGCGTGCGTGCGTGCGTGCGTGCGTGGGTGTGTGTGTGTGTGTGGGTGGGTGGGTGCGTGCGTGCGTGCGTGCGTGGGTGCGTGGGTGCGTGTGCGTGTGCGTCTGCGTGTGCGTGTGCGTGTGCACGTGCGCGTGCGCGTGCGTGTGCGTGTGCGCGTGCGGGTGCGTGTGCGTGTGCGCGTGCGTGTGCGTGTGCGTGCGCGTGTGCGAGTGCGTGGGCGTGCGGGTGTGTGCGTGCGTGCGTGCGTGTGGTGTGTGTGTGTGCGCGGGTGTGTGGGTGTGTGTGTGTCCCAAACAGGATTCCGGTTTTCCTGTTGGCCTTTAAGCAAACCCTAAAACAGGTCACCCAACAGAGCACGCGCCTATTGCCATGTTCGCAACGCCGCGTATATGCATGCTTGACTCTGGCAACGGGATGAGGAAACACGCTTGCACCTCCCGGCTTGGGAGACCAACATGAACAAACAAAGGCAAATCTTGTGGGGGGCTTTCCAAAGGAAACAAACCAAGCAGCACAAGAAGGTAAGAAGCATCAGCAGGACAGCGCTGGATTGCATCAGTGGCAACCCCCAGCCATCACTTCGTTCTGGAAAGCTGTTCCAAAACAAAAGAGGAAGTATCAAGCAACAACACGCACTCCCAGCTAGGGAACGGAGGCGAACCAAAGACGCCTACTCAAGTCACGTGAGAGGGAGAGAGAGACAGCAAACAAATGCAAAAAACAAGCCTCCTCAGCAGGACACAACCTGATTACATCACTGGCACCCCCACACGTCACTTCTGGGAACCTTTCCGAAACAAGGAAAGCTACAAACAAACAACAACACATCCCCAGCTAGGGCAGAGACATTGAACCAAAGACAAACAAAGGCCCTACTCGAGTCCTGAGGGACCTTTCCAAAGGAAAGACTGCAAACAAAAGAACCACCAGAAGCATCAACAGAAAACACTTCGCCCCTACGCCCATCTCTGCTCATTGCCTTTGCCTTCCTGCAGAGAAAAAACGTAAACCATTCCCAAATCGAGTTTCTCCTGTGTACATGCACTGTACCTGTTCGACGCACATAAGAAAGCAGGCCTGTAGTGATGGCGGTCTGACCTATTTGATTTTCAAATGCTGTGCCTGCCCTTAGACTGCAAAGGGTGATCTTGTTGCTTGATTGCAAGGATGAAGGAAACCCAAAGGGCACAACAAGAAACCTTCTTGGTTGAGAGTGGCAATGCTACCCCCAACCCTAGCACAAGGGTAGAGCATGTAAATCCTGCCAGTCCTGCTAACTTGAAACTGAAGGACATGATCCTCTTGGGCCTCGGAGTACCCCTCAACACGGACCAACACGTGGTCGAAGAAAGGATCCTTCAGCGGCCACGTGGAGTTTTGTCCGACCCACACAAAAAAGAGAACTTCTGTGCCACAGGATGAGATCCCGAAAAAGGATCCAACCGTGTGTGGCTCAAAATTGCGCGGCTGGGGTGACGCAGGTTTTAGTCTTTGTTTCCATATGCCAAGGTGCCATTTTGGGGCGCCCTTTTTTGAGCCAGAGCCAAATCAGTGGCCACGAACTCCCTCGAGCGCCGCAGCTCCGCCCCCGGCCTCTCGAAGGCTTCGCTAAAGGACTCCAGTGGCAGCGCTGCCACCTTCGCGCCGCCTTGGCCGGGAATCAGATTTTGAGCTCCTGGTAAGGGCTCTGCCCCAAAAACCCAGCAAAGAATAGGGGTGAGGCAGAAACCTGGCAAGGGGTCTACGGTACTGAAGGGGTTTACCCCAAAAGCCCCACGCGAAGCTGGTATTGCAGGGGTCTTTTCCGCAATCCATGTCAGAATCAGAACCTAGTGAGGACCCCAAAAAACCCATGCGAAAAGATCTCCTCTGGCTGGGACAGTCCCTAACTTTCACTTGGCCAGGTGATCGCTGGGCATTGGACCCAGGTCCTCAGCCGGGCTGCTGGGCTGTTGCAGGCTTGGGCCCAACTCTCGTTGGGCGATCTACGAAAACTGGCAAACAAGAGGTTAACCAGGAGCACACGGATTTGTGTCAAAGGGGAGATGCCTAAATTGGTGGTAAAAGTTATACTTAAGAAGGGTAGTTTTAATATAACACACACACATATACACCTACAGAGCCACAAATCACTCCATGGTCCGAAACCTCAACTGCCGTCCCAAAAGCAAAGGTCGGAGAATGCATGCTGGAAGGAAGGACCATCCGCCAAAACATGCGAGGAAACTAGTTTCAACTTCGATTTCGTCGCAATGCACGCCTCGGTCTTCTTATGCTCATATTTCCCCGTTCTGTCAGCAATTTCCCCAACACACAAAGGGGACAACACATTTCAAAGCGAAGGGAAACACCACCTGACAAGCAAACAACTGTTCAACACACCTGCAAGAAAAAAACAAACCACAATATTGTCCACACAGAAAACACAAACAAAAAAAGGAGGGGAAGGGAAGGGGCTTGGGGGGGCCCGTCCTACGACATGGGAAAAAAAGAAGAAGAGAAACAAAAAACCGTGGGGGGCGGGTGGAAGACTCTGCAGCTCGGCCGCTGCTTCCCGCGCGGGAGGAGCTGCTGTGGCGCGTACAGTCCAAGCTGGGCTCTGAGCTCGAGCCCGGCGGCAGGTGCTGCGCCGGAAGACTCGCCAACATGTACAGCAGCCCTCAGAAGGCAAACAAAAAGCACACACAAAATCGCCAAGAGAGGTCGCAAGTGAAAAAATCCAAGAAAAAGGGGGGGTTCAAAGACACGCCCAAGTAGCGGGCTCAGACGAAAAAGAAAAGGCCAACAGATTCCATTTGCTTTTTCGCCCCCTGCAAAAAACAAAACAAAACATGTCTAGCAGTGAAATCGATTCCCTTTTAAAACCAACAAGGGAAAATAGCAGATATCCTTGAGCAAATGAAATCGAGGTCTTGGACGCTCAGACCGACCGATATCCAAGTTCTGGGGACCTACCCGGATGGTTGGAAGCCCTTCGAATGAGGTTCCCTCTACCTGTTTCCTTCAGGCAACATCCGGGACACATCTGATTGTTTGGTTGTAAAGGAAACCCCCTGAAACAAAGGAGACCACATGATGTTACCTGCTTTGATTCATCCGGACCATGCCAGCGGGAGATTGCTACACTTCACAGACCTGAATTGAGAATCCAAAACATGTTCACGTCCCCTTTTTTTGGATAAAGGAGCTTGCTACCAAGGAACTGCATCACAAAGCAGCCGTAGGGGTGGGAACGCAAGTTAGTGGTATCACCGCAAGAAGACCATGTTCCACATCCGCTTGGGTATGGGTCAAAATTAAATCACCAGAGTCTTTGGTTCCATTTGCCAGGGTTTCATTTTGGATGCCTATTTTCGACCCACGTCCATGTGTTGATTCTTGGTAGGGTCCCTTTCATGTTCCTCAACCATACCCAGGGCTGTCACAGTACACTCGTATGCGGATGCGCCTCATGCCAAGCGAATTCCCAAGTTCGTCTAAGCGGGGTTCCACTACCCCAACAATCCCTTCAGGAATACACGGTACATAGCACTATGTCATGGGTGTAAAATGGCAATGTACTTGAAGCACTCTTAGATATTCATAGGGGAAGCAAATCACACGGCCTACAATCTGGTCTCTGCTGGAACATTCTATCAGACACGTGGTCCTACCTTTTTTGGGAGCAGGGGATGTGCATCTACAGCGGGTGCTAAATAGCGGGACAGAGAAACACAACAACAAGGGCATGTTCATTTCTGGATTTTGGAGGTATGGATGCTGAATGCCACCAACATAAGCCTACAACCAACTACATACCCTCGTGTGCACCCTCCTTACCTCCAAAATTCCTCCCTGGAAGTCCCCTAGAAAGTACACTTCTCTGCTTGGTTTCTTGGGCAACTCATCTAATCATGGGCTGCTTGGCTTTGTCGTGCAACACATTAGAACACACAACCCATTCGGCATCACTGTGCCGTGGATGTACAATTCAAACTTGACCCCGGGTGAATCAACCTTTGCATCTGGGTGTTCAATACGGATTCGGCAAGAAAAACAAGTACCCACCCCCTTCTAGTTTGGTTTTGGGAACATCAACACATATTATGGGTGTCTTGTTTTTAGGACATGGACCAATTGTGTGCATGTGTGTGTGTGTGTGCATGAGTGTGCATGTGTGTGTGTGTGTGTGTGTGTGTGTGTGTGTGTGTGTGTGTGTCTGTGTGTGTGTCTGTGTGTGTGTGTGTGTGTCTGTGTGTGTGTGTGTGTGCATGTGTGTGCATGTGTGTGTGCATGAGTGTGCATGTGTGTGCGTGTGTGTGCGTGTGTGTGTGTGGTGTTGGTGTTGGTGTTGGTGTTCTTGTTCGTGTTTTTTGTGTGTTTGCGTGTCTGCGTGTTTGTGTGTGTTTGTGTGTGTGAGTGAGTGTGTGTGTGTGTATGTCTGGTCTTTAAACAACTTCTGGATTCCCTTTAAAACCGCACAACTTGGAGACCCATCAACAAAACACACAAACACACCCACCCAGTTACCATTCACCTACCCACCCACCCACGCACGCAAGCAAGCACGCAAGCACGCACACACATAGACAGGCAAACAAGCACAAATCATGGGCTAGCATTCAGAGAGGGTGCAAAGCTCGCTGCCGAGACTCCCACGATGGCGTTCCCGGGCCCGATCCTGTACACATCCGAAGAACGGCTGCCCAGCTCTACCACCACCTGAACTGGATCAGACCCCCCTCACCCAAGTGGCCATGGCTTTTAGGTTTTCTGGGTTTAGTGGGGGTTTACACGTGGCCATGGGTCAAACCAATGGGATCCCATTTTGGGATAGGTGAATTCACCACCCATTTTAGAACCAATTTTCGTGGGGATTGGAATGTTCACTTGGGGTACGGGGTTTTGTCCCACGGCCAAGTCAGCTTGCCTCCTTCGTGGTGGGTCAAAGGGACACCAAAAGGAATACATACCCATGAAAATTCGCGAATGCGCAAAGGGGTCGCAATTCAATCAAGCTCTCCAAACAATATTCCCCACCCTGAGACCCTGCGAAAGGGGGAGGAAATGCAGACATGGTTCTTGTTTTTCCTTTCTTGTTTTTTTTGGGGGGGGGAGTGGCAAAAAATGGCTGCCCGTCTGGGGGAGTGATAAAAAACAAAATGATCGCAAGCCCTGGCAATACAAAGCCCTGGCAATGTACAACCTTGTATGCAAAACCAGTATTAAGCCGAACGGAGCCAGCAAGACCAACTGAGGCCCCAAGCAGCCAAATTATTTTATGGCGCCCTTTGCCATTTCTTGTTGCCTTTCAGTGAAGGTTATAACATTTTGAACCCCCTACCTGCTATTTTTGGTACCCAACCTCCCGATTAATGCTAATGCTTCCCCCCCTCCCCCTGAGCCAAAAATGGCAGCAGCACTAGCAGTAAGTCCTCTTTTGCGAGGCAGCCTTTGTGCAAGGCAAGCTACTGCCAGTACTGTTGCCCAAAACTACTTCCAGTAGTTCCACATTGCCATACATCTCCCAAAAACAGAGCGGAACCAGCAACTGTCTTACTCTTACTACACTGTGTTAAAGAAGGACAAGGTTTGACAAGCTCCTAAAGGCTACCCCACCTACCCCACCTTGAAGACCCTGATTACACCAGTGCAAAAAAAAGAAAGAACCAAGCGTTCCTTTGATTCCCTGCAGTCTTAGTATTTGCCAAACAGGGGGCCGTGATGAATCCGGACACATTTCTTCCCAAACTAAGATCCATGTTAACCTACGATTCCTGGTTCATCCGTCCTTGGGTACTTGTCAGTAGAGGCACCCCCCCTCCACAAGATTGGGCCAAAAAATCCTTCGGGTTCTTTTCCTTCCAAAAGAAAGACACCCACCCCAAACAAATCGGCCGAAAAACCGGGGCAGCCCCCCCCCCCCCCCGCGACCCCGCGAAGGCCGTTTTCCGCCCCCCGAAGCGGCGCCCACGCCTCGCCCTCCTTCACCACAAAGAAGGAGGTGCGCCGGTCCCCCTGCGCGAAGACCGACTCGTTGGGCCCAAAGTCCAGGTCCTGCGAGACCGCTGCGGGCCGTGAGGGGCGGAGGATGGGCCGTGAGGGGCGGAGGAGGGGCTGAGGAGGGGCGGAGGCTAGGAAGAGGAAGACATTGCCAGGAAAAAAAAGGGCCTTTGGGATTTTCTCTAGCTGGTACTGTTTGGTTTCCCTTTAAAGCTTATGTTTCCTAGTTGGCACTCGGTGAGTAATAATTAGGGTGCAGGGGGTATGAAAAAGGTACTTGCCGGTGCGATAGATGCAGGGAATGTGAAATGGAATAACCCTGAACTAAACCATCCAACTGGTGGTTCCCTTCAAGGGAATTTCTGTCCGGTTCATTTCCACATTCCCTACCTATCGCAGCAGCAAGATTAAACATACACTCCCTCCCACGTTGCCATGGCACCTGACAGAAGGTCAAATGAGCAATTTCATCCTCCAGATATCCCACAAATGCCTCATGTTAGTGGGAGGAAGCCCACCCCCCCCCCCCCCCGAAAAAACGGGCAGAGCCGCGTCCTCCACTTTGGCCTCCAGAAATTCCATGCACTCCACCGGCAGCGCCGAGGACCCCGGGCCGCCCATCATGAAGCTGGCCAGCGAGGCCACGCCTGGAGTCGCTTGGGTCGAGGGCAGCGGGAGGGCAGCGGTTCAGTTTTGACTAGGTCCTCCAGTAGACAGCTTAGAATAAGGGTACCCGATTTTTTTCAGGACGTCTATTTTACTAGGGGAACCCTCCCCCAAAAAAGGGTAAAAGGGCAATACTGGGGGAAATGGTTGAGGAGGGAATGAATCTGAAGCCGTGTTTGGGGTACCCCATTTTAATACATCGCTTTTCTTGGTTGGTCTTAACCTTGCCTTGTTTGGGTACTTTATATTTCAATACATCGAGACTTTGTTGGTTGGTCTTAAACTTGCTGGTTCTCAGGAAATGAGAAATGGAACCCTGGGCTAAACCATCCAACTGGTGGTTTCCTTTTTTCGTCCAGAAGCGATTCAGTCCCAAAACCCGGAACGGTCATTCCCTTCTGAGCACCAGCAAATTTGGGTTGGTCTTGAAGGAAAACCAGAAGGAGAACCACCATTCTTGGGGTCCCCTAAGGCAAACTCATTCGTAGCCTCCAAAGCATAGGACAAAGACACTCCTCCAAAAACGGATTACACGGACACACAAAGGGTAGTCATCCAACAAAAAGGCACTCACCCACTCACCCAAACAGGAAACACGTTTGTTGTAAGCAGAGGAACGACATAACAAGGATACTGATCCAACCAACAAAGCACGCACTCATGTATTTGTTGATGTATATGTATGCATATATATATATGTGTATATATATATATATAAGAAACAGCAAAGCAACAACTGCGCACTGGCAGCTGCGCAAGAGAAACACAACCAAACACCCAAGCGCTTGAGTGCTGGGTATCACAGGGGCCCGGGAGAAGACGATATATCCTACCACCGTTACAACAGGATTCCATGAATCAGCTGGCATTTGTGATGATTTGTTGACGAGCCGTTGAGGTCGGATTTGGGCTTTGGTGAACCAATGGTTTTCTCAGATCAAGGGTTGGGCTGGCAAAGGAAATCTATGGCCCTCGGGAAAATCCGCGCAGAGTATCAGCAAGTTTTTTTTTGTGTTGCGAACTCCGCGCTGCAGTCTGTGACGAAGGGGTCCCAGTGGCAACAGTACTGTGGATGCACCAAATCCTGCACCACCTGAGAAACCATGGAATGATGATTCTCCTGTAAACGCCAACAAACAATGGTTTTCCATGGTTTCAAAGTGGTGCAGGATTTCGTGCATCCACAGTAGGTCCAAGCGTTTTGAACCAGGTCCGCCACGCGGATGCGCTGAAGAGCAACAGAAACATCCTCTTGCTCTTCGGCGCACGGCGAAGGCGAACTTGTCGTTGAGCCCCCCCATCGTTGAAGTTGGCCACGTACATGTCCTCCTTTGCCAATGGGGGCAGGGTAGGCGGCTGTCATCGCGCATGCGCGAAACGAAAACAGAAAACGTCGGCACCTGATTGCGGCTTCCTGATGTTATTACCGATGTGGCCGCTTCAGGCCCAGCAACTCCGCCAGCGCCCCGAGATCGACGACCTCCCTTGAGAAGACGTCCTCAGGCCCTCACTGTACGCTGAGCGAGTCTCACAGGGTCAGCACGACCTTCGGCTGAAGGAGCACTGCCACTTCGTTGGCGAAGTCCTGGACGCACTGCCACCGCGAATGCAATGCGTGAAGCTGTGGTCTGAGTCGTTAAAAGACGCCTTCACAGGCGAGTCCGCTTGGCGCCTGCACCAGGAAGAGCTCTCGCCTTGACTATTCATCACCGCCAGGCCCGCCGCAAGGAGCATGGCAAGTGATATGGATCGTTGGTTCCGTTGCTCCATGAAGGCTCCGTGAAAGCGAAGTTTCGTTGAGCCAATGCTTAGCACACGACAGTTTACATATCCTGAATATGTCAACAAACAACCAAAGAATCGTTCACCCGTTCCCTTGGAAGAGTTGACTCCTCACCAAAAAAGGCTCCACCATCCTTGATAACAAGTGGAGGGCCTCATAAATCAGGGTCGACATTAACCACTGGACCTTTCCATCAAATGCGTCACATCGGGCTTCATGCCGCTTTGTTTCCCGTGCGACATTTTTGCCCACAGGCCACAACGAAACAACACATTGTTTTGTTGTAGACGTCAAAGGAAGAATCCACTCAACAAACACGAGCCGAGCGCCACTGCGTTCAGAACTGGCATGCTTGGCACCTCCAAAATGGCATTCTTGGCACGCAGCATGTTAGATCAGCATTGCCCTACATAATTTGGACTAATCTTTTCTCCCCACATCCGCAAAGAAGAGAGAGGTCCAAGCTGATGCAGCGGCGGAGCCAGCAGCGCCAGGCTGACATTATCCCAAAGAACTCGTGAATTACAAGTTGCCAAAATCGTGACTGTGGGGTACTTGAACACGCGGAACAATGCATTGCGCGCGATGCTGATATATGAAGTGATGCTGACGTTAAATCACTGAATGGAATAAACAAGGTCGACTAAGGCCAAACAAGTCCAAGTATTGTAATGCCAAGCAAATGTCCAAACAAGTCCAACAAGCTGCCAAATAAATCCGAACCAAGGCCCGCTGGCCAAACTTTGCCAAGGTCACCGCAGTGGTCAAATTTACACCCTTTGCCCGCGCTTTTTGCATTTTTCTTTCCTGGGAGCTTTTTTCGTTTTCCCCCCCCCCCCCTTTTTTGGGGGGGGGGCTTTTCGGTTTCCCCAAAAGGCATTTTTTCGAAATCGAGGCGCGCTGCTTCTGCTGCACGCAGAGCGACGGGGAGTCTAGGCCCGGGTTCTGTTCTTCAACCTCGGCCTCCATCTCCATGTCGGACTCCCCGGAGGAGAAGCTCATGTACGCCTCACGCGCACAGTCCACGCGCGCGGAGACCGTGGTGATTCATATCCAGTGTTGAGGTTCCCAAGATTCATACATTGTTTTGAGGTTCCCACTGCTTTTTGAGAAGCTCATGTAGGTCTCACGCTTTTAGGTTAGTGTGGTCAAACACAGAAGGCAAGACCATATGGCTGTGGGTCAAAAAACGGGTAACCCCAAAAAGGCTTGCCCCGGTAAATGGAACCAATGACGAAAACCTGCGGTCCCCTGGTCGCTTAATTTTGACCCATACCCATATAGGTGTCCTTTTTAGGTTAGTGTGGTCAAAAACAGTTGAAGGCAATGGTTTAGATGGGTTTTGTTCCATTGACCAGGGCCATGTATTTTTCCAAAAGGACACCTATGGTCCAGACGCGTGAAGTCATGGTGATTCATGTCCAGTCTTGACTAGGTCCTCCAGTAGAAAGGTTAGAATAAGGGTACCAACCTTTTTTTTGTTGTCTATTTTAGTAGGGGAACACTCCCCCCCAAAAAAGGGGCAAAAGGGCACTACTGAGGGACCTAGTTGAGGTTCCCAAGATTCATTGCAAGTCAACGGCGGGTTCGTCCCAAAATATGGTGTCCTAAACGTGGGCGACCACCCCTTTCCCGCGGTCAAACAAAACCGCGTATTTCCTCCGAAAATGCGTCTCCCCACGGAAAATGCAGGTCGTGTGACGCAGACTGTGTGTCTGCGTCTGGGTTACCCCTTTGAGTTGCTGTAGAAGGGGCCTCTGTTCTCCAGATATCTCTGGATTTGGGATCAAGGGACTCTACACATACCAACTTCCAAATTCCATAAGCAGTTCTATGCATCCAGGAGGCTTTCCTCTGCACTCTAAGTGCTGGAACAATTTGAACATTGACTTATGAGGGGGACTTGAAAGCTAATCTTAAGTCATGATCAAGGAGCAAGCTCCGCTTTTTGGGCTTGTTTTCGGGGAATTCGGTAAAAGGGAATACAATTGACCTGCATCCTTACGAGGGCCGTTCCTTTTCGAGGGCTGAACCCTTGGAGTTTCCATACTCCCTTGCAACTACAACGTGGAAAAGGGTGTCTCTTTAGTTTTTAGGGCGTCCGCCAAGTCGGTTGTCCTGTCGGTTTCCCTTCCAAACCGACCAACAAGGGTGTCCCCGAAAAAAGACAAGCCCCTACTAGATGGCACAATTCCCTTGCGGGTAAGTTGGCTGGGCCTGAACCAAATTGGGGGGATTGTGGATTCTACTGTCACTCAAGTGGCCATGGGTCCAAATCCCGTACCCCCAGTGAAAATCCCAATCCCAACTCAAATAGTTAGACTAAACTGGGTGGTGCACCTACCCCAAAATGGTACCATTGGTTTCGACCCACAGCCAACTAAAGCAAATCAGCAAACAGTTCACCACGGCCAACACCAACTTGAAGCTGTTGCCGCGGACCCAAAAATCAGCTTGGGTTTGCGTGCTTCTCGAGAGATGTGAAGTCATGTTTAATCCAAAGCTGTTTTGGGGCCAAAACTAAATCAAAAAGAGATCTCCCCAGCTCCCAAAAACCGAAAGAAAAGAAACACAAGTACGTTTTGTGCCAATGATTTGGTGTCACCCCTAACCCCCAAAAGCTTGGCTTTTTGGGCAGCCTTGGGCCACTCACTTGAATGAAGCGCCGACGCTTGATCCCCGAATCCGTACCAGTAACTCTCTTGATGGGTATGGGCTTGTCTCAAAAAACGGGAACCCCCGTATTTGGGGTGGTGTCCCGTTGGCTTCTCTGAGCAACCTGGAAAAGGGTCAAAAAAGACGAGCCGCCCATAGGACTTTTGTTCCTAAACAGGACAAATCACAATGGATGCTGTTTTGTTCCTTCACTGGGCTGACCTCAGCTCCCCTGCCAAAAGCTTAAAACTTTTAGTGGTTTAGAGGACCCCTGAACATATGGAGTGGCTTTCTTTGCGGCTCGGTACCCTTTTCAGGTTGCTTTGAAGGGAAACCAAAGGAACATAACTTTCGGGCCCCAGTTCAGCACGTAGCCCATGTAAGGTCTTGAAACCAACAAGATTGCTCCAAAGACTCTGGCACAATCTGCAAGATTGGCCGCACACCAAAGGAACCCCTTGGCCACTTCTCGTCAGATGTGAGTCAAACTCCCAAGAACTCCGCCGGAGGGGCTTCCATTTGTCATTCACGCCGCAATTGCCGTCTTGCTTTAGGGAAGCAAGGAGCAGGGGCACAACGAGCACCTTTCTGGATTTGTTCTGTGATACCAAAGCGGCATGCCATCCTCATGACTAGCTTAGCACGTTAAAGTGGATGCAAGTAGTCCATGGCTAAGTGGTCCATGGTTTTGGTCAATGGTTTACAAACTTCCATCTAATCCAGGTGGAGCCCATCTATTTCTATAGCCAAACCGATCCTCAGATGCCCGGTGGCCATGGACAAAAAGGGCATCTCTTTTTTTTGCTGGTTGAGTTTCAAAGGTAGCCCTTAACCAAAAAAAAGGAGAAAAGGGCAGGAAACAAAGGCAACCACTGGGCAACAAAGGATCCAAAAGGACGCCTAGGGATCGATGAACTTCCGGATAGCTCCGGCCTCAGGTCCAGTAGAGAGGTTAGAATAAGTTGGTACCAACTTTTTGCGGCAGATGAAAGTAGGGGAACCCTCCCAACCAAAAAAGGGATGAGAGGTCGGGCACCTAGCTGGCACCTAGCAGTCTCCGGATAGCGGGGGCCTCCATTTCCTGCAGCCGATGTTTGCGCCCAGCGCTCTGCAGGCGCCCGGAGCGGCTGTCGCGGAGCCCCCGCTCCCAGCTGAGGTTGATGAGCCTCGGGGTTCGGGGTGCGAGGCTCGCCTCATGTGGTTTCCCCGCCCAAAAAGGGGGGGGGCTCAAAAAGGGAATGGGGGGTGCCACATGTGAAGTTGTTGGGGTAAGTTGGTGTTTGGGTTTGTTGCAAGTTGTTTTGCATGTCCCCCATGGCCCACAAAAAAAACCATAGACCTGCGTAGTTGGAATATAACGAAGAAAAACCGCCCCTAGCTCCTGCCAGCGGCTTCCAGCACGCAGAACTTTTTTTCTATCCCGCATACTTGGCCTAATCAAAAGACATCAAAAAGACAAGAAACCGGTGTATTGGAGTCACGTTTCATCATGAGAGAGGCCGCAACTTCTCCCTGTGAGGCCGCAATTTGACTAGAACTTCATTTGAGTAGAACTTCCCTTGGGTGTACGTCACAACTGCATCTTGCCTTGTGCGGACGGATTGCTTTGGTCGCCGATGTTGAAGATGTTTTGAACCATTAAACCGCATGGGCAACTTGACTAAGGCCCCCCTCAAAATATATTGTTTCCTTCTATCTATCTTCCCTTCAACCACCCCGCAAGAGGGGTATCAGCTCCAAAAGACAACAACAGCTGCTCATAGCTTGACTTTGAATGCAAACCTGCACCATTTGTTTTTGAAACAACAGGGCCCTTTCCTTTTCTTTGGGAGTTAGAGTTCCAACTTTCCAACTCTCTCGGGGGCAAAGGCAGGTGTGTGTCCGTCGCTCACTCGCTCAGTTTTTTTGTTTTTTTGCGACCTGCCGCATCTTCAGCGCTTGTTCGCAGGCTGCAATGGCGGGACCCAGGGCATCGGTGGAAGTCGAGGCCACCCAAAGTGACCTCGGCTCACGCAGTGTCCCTCCTGCTTTGGATTGGAGGTTCGACTGGCGGTTTCCACTTTACCCTCTCAAAGGTTCAAGTCCCCAATCCAAACCGCCCATGAAGGCTGCTAAGGGTTACCTGAACATCTGGGCTTCACACACACAACCACGACTGCATGTTTGTTTGTGACTCTGTTTTTCCCAAGATCTAACATCGTTTTGGAGGAGACCCCGGTTTACAGCCTGGGAAGGGCTCTGCAAGTATGCGGCTTCAAACAACCAAGCATGTGAAGGATTTCTAGAAGTGGTATAGGTCATGTTTTCCAAAGGTTGCGGATGCCCCTTGGGTTTAAATCTAAAAGCAGGTTTTGACCAGGAATCACATCTAATATCTCCGGTCAAAGGGCGATGTTGAGCAACACCCCACAAAGATCTTGGCCTCTGGCTGATGCCTCGGCCCTTGGAAAGTACAGCTCGAGACTTCGAACTTCGCTTCCCGGAGCTGTGATCTTGTTCATCCATTTGCTGAAGTCCTCTGGAAAAAACTGATTTTGTATTTCCAGTGATCTCTGGAAAAAATGGAAAGTATGTCCAGTGCTAGCTTTTCCTTTAAAAGCAACAGCTTTATATTTATCTGTTTTAACTTCAGCAAATGGAAGTGGTGGTATACCCAACAGCAATCCCTGGACTCCTTCCGGACTGCTCCCGATACCCGAACCGGAGTCCGGAACCCGGATCTGGTGGAAAGCCAGTTGTTTCTTGAACTAGGAAAGACCAGCAGTTGGAGGATGGGCTATAGGCCCCCTGCAAGTGCAAGGAGAACCCCTTAGAACCTTTCCTACATTGTGGCCAGAGAAAGTCGGATTCGCTTTTTATTTACCGCCAAAATGGTCCAAACCCCAAAAAAGTGAGTCAAGTCCGTGAACTCCGTTTAAGTGGGTGCCGGAACCCCTAACCCACAACTCCAAAGCACCAAAACTCGCTTGCGTTCTGCTCCCCTGCTTAAAGTTTTTTTGGTTTTAATGGAAAACCAGTTGAAATCCAAAAAAAGCTAAAGTCTAAAGATGCAACCCAATAGCAATCAAGCAAAGGCAGGGCGGTTCCTTTAGACCAACTAGGTCCTCCAGTAGAGAGGTTAGAATAAGGGCACCATTTATCTGGTAGTCTATTTTAGTAGGGGAACCCTCCCAACCAAAAAAGGGGTGAGAAAGGGCACCTAATGGGGGACCTAGTTGAGGTTCCCAAGACTCATAGATTGCAATTGAATGGGTGGATTCATAACGTTTAGTGATTTGATGGAAAACACATCAGTTGGCAAAAAGTTCAAGTCCTAACATCCCTTGGCAAAATGCACCAAAGAAAAGGCAGGGCGCTTCCTTTAGACCAACATACCTTGGTTGACGTTGGAAGGGGAGCAAACATTCAAATTTTAGCAAAGTGGATTTGGACGTCAACAACTAAACCACAATAAGTAAACATGTAAAACATGTTTCCCAACAACAACCATCTTTAAGCCAAGCTGACATCCTTTACCCAAGTAGTCCATGGCTAAGTGGTCCATGGTTTTGGTCAATGGTTTACAACTTTCCATCTAAAGCAGGTGGAACCCATCTACCGCTATCGCCTCTATAGCCAAACCGATCCTCAGATGGCGGGTGGAACGATCCCAACAACAATACTCACTTCCCAAGTTGACTGGCCAAAAACAGCTTGAACTTTCTATTTACCACTAAAATTTGGTCTTTCCAAAAAGTTTAAAGTCCACCAACTCAGGAAGTGAGACCACGATACGCCGCAGCCCGGCCAAGAGGCCGGCGCCAGCGGCCCTGCGCGCCGCAGGCGCTGGCGGCGCAGGGGGCGGCCAAGGACCAGCCGTACGCGAAGAGGCCCAAGGCCTCGAGCCCGAGAGGTCGTTGGGACGCGAAGATTGGCAGAACAAATGGGGTCTGGAAAAAGAGTCCGCAAAAAATTCCAAAATGGAACGAAATATATAGATATATATCCGAATCGGTGGAAAACCAAAAATCCGAAGTTCTCGAACAAATTATATATATATATATATATACACAAATATATGTGTTTTCTATCTATAAACACTTCGTAGGGACCCTTCATGAGGGAAATCCCACACAAACCAAATCCTTCGCAATTCCTGAGCCGTCGCCCCATTCAACATGCGATTGTGCGAGACCAAATCTTGCCAGGAGAACCTCGGTTTCCACAGGGCCCATGATACAACTTTCCGCGGACTGACGCAACTTCACGCAACTTAACCCGTGTCCTCGTAGGTACATAATCAGTACCATCGGGAACGGCCTATCTGAACTTTGCTATAGATCTTGATCTTCGTTTTGGGAACAGCTTGGAAGCCTGTCCCCAGCTTCGCCAAACAGTCGCGCTTGAGTGTTGGAACTTCAACGGAGCTCAGGACATGATGGGCTTGCCCCACGGCAAGCACGGCAAGGGTCAGCAAAACTGCAAAAGACTGAACAGAGTCTAGCAATGACTGGGCAAACCTAACCGCCTTGAACACCAGTAAGTGGAGCAAGGAAGCAATACAGGAACCCTTGATTGATATCCCTGCAGTTGTTCATCAGAGCTCGAGCAAGAAAGTCATTCTCACGAAAATGGGAGAACCCTTAAAACAACAGTGTCAGCGATTACATCCTCAAAACGCAATGCATCATCATACATTGGTTGTTCAAGGGACTTGCAAGTGCACGTCAAAATCAAACCTACAGGTACTTTGTCAGTGTCTGGTTACTGTCCCCCAAAGAGTTACACATGTCCTTTAGCAACCTTTTGTATTTTTCTTTCGACGAGTCTGGATACCTCCCAAAGGAAACCAAACAACAGTCGGCGGGGGAGGGGGGCATAGGTTTCGGCCAACTTGTTCAGTCCTACCTAGATATATCTAGGTTCCCCATGTGACCCTGATAGACCACTGGTGGTTGCAACCCACCAGAAAAAAAACAGATGCTGAAACATCGCTTCTACTCAGGCGGTCTGAATCTACCTACCCGCCTGCAGCCAGTTGGCAGCCTTCTGGCATGAGCTGAGGAAGCTATTCCTGGGTTAGGACAGCTTTCCGCCAACCCCTTGAAATACGTTTCAACAACCTCCTTTTCTAGCGGTACCTCCCCCATTCTTTCCAGGGATCCTTCTTTCTAGAAAACCTCCAGAAATCCGGGGAAAACGGCTGGTTTTCGAAAAGAACGATGGTTGAAAAGAATGGGGAACCAACCCCTAGACCTTTGGGTTTCCGAATCTAAAGGGGATCAGTCAACAACAAATGATCCCCTGGAGACATGGTCAAAAGCAACAATGGACAATGGTTGCTAATTACAAACCAACTGGATTCCGGTAGTGGAACCCCTTGGAATGTTGACTTCACTGAGAAGTCCCCCACTAATCGTGGGCAAAAGAGTGGCCTGAGGATGCTACAGTCAGGTTCAGTTTCGTTTCCGATAAACATCGCCCCACAAGTAAACTCAACAAACACAACTGCAAGCACAAAGGTTCAGTCGTCAAGTGAGAAGCGATTGAAACCTAGTAGTACATGTTTATTGAAGATGGTCTAGACCCAAACCTCCAGCGTTTTTCTTGACAGCGACTAAGCCATCCCTGGTGTTGTTGTGGGATCCCGTGTGTTTGCGAGGGGCTTAAACAAACCCGAAGCCCAAACCTCATTAATCAACTTGGCTGCCAATGAAGGGGCGGCTTGCTTGGAAAGTGGCTACAACCAACGGTTGTAACCCGCTGCGGGAACAGCCATGATTGTAACCAAGGTTATCAACCAATGCAGAGGGCGACATAACTTGAGTGAGGCTTGGAGTACCAGAAAACTAAATTTAGTCACGCATGTAGGAGTGTTTTGGTATTTTTCAGCCCTTATTACTTTACCTTCCGACCAACTAACATGGAATCTGACGTTCGGGGATCCCTTTAAATGGAAAATGGTCCAAACCAGGACCCCGAAACGTCAGGTTTCATGTTAATCAGTGGAACCTCAGGTACCCTGCCCCACGGCAACAGGCGCTCGAAAAGCTGGTGCTGAACTCGCCCTTCAAAACCACCAGGGGAAAATAACACATATGTTCATATGTTCATTTCAGCAAGTGGACACCAGAAAGCTTCATAGGCACAAAACGCAAACATGGACTTCTCGCATCCAAATATGTTT